TTTTTTTCTATATATATCACTCCTATTTTTTTTGAAAAAAATAATGATTGTTGCAGGAAAAATTTATAAAGAAAATATATTGAGAATGAATTATAATCATCCATAGTTCAACCTACATTTACGGGTTTATCTATTTAAGAGTTAGAGGATTGTTAAGATTCATCCACATCATTCCCTGTTCAATTTTTTTGTAAATTTTTCCTACTTACATCACTACTCTTTTGGAAAGAATAATGATTGTACATAATGTCTTCTACTCACCCGTCATTAGTTAGTACTTTTAATTAAGGAGTTGCATGGCCAACTGATAAACAAAAGAAATTATGAAAAACACAGTACCAAAACTTTTATTTATTTCTACAAACATTGCAGCAGCAAGTGTAATACATAATAGAAATACTTTTCATTGTCTTCCATTATTTGATCGGGTGATCAACAAACAGTTTTCTTTTTTTCTACCAACAAATAAACAAAGTAAATTAATTGGTTATTATGGAAGCACTTGTGATATCTTTGGTGATCGCATTAATTTTCAAACCTCACAACAGCGAAATCCCAGCATTAAGTATATCATTCATCGACTATCAACCCGATGAAGTCTTATATTTTTCCTTGGTTGAACATATTGATTTGTGGGTGATTTATCTTGGTTTCTCGTCATCATGGAGCATGATGGTCATATGGTTCTTGTCGATAATGAGTACAGACAGGCTCTTCATTTGAGCAATTCAAATGACAAATTAATCTTTTGGCAATGTCGGTTCATCCAATAGTATGCTAGGGTATTAGTCAAAAAAAATTTTAAAAAGGAAAACTTATAGTGGTTATAAAAAAATGAGGGGAAAACTTTGTTTAATTAAACTTTGTTTAAAGGAAAACTTTTATTGGGTTAGGTGAAGTGTTGTGAGATTGTAGTGTACGATTCCTTAGCCAAACATTGTTTAATTAAGATTTTGAAAAATGGCCACGACGGGTTCATCCAATAGCGGGTTTGGGTTTTAGTATCATCTTAAAAAAACAAAGTAATAATTAAATAGAAAAATGTGAAAAATTTTATATAGTAATTTTCAGGTTCTTATAAGATTGTATTGTAGGAGACCGTTAGACAAAACATCATTAATTAAGATATTGACAAATTTCTCTGATGGGTTCATGTGACCCTAACGGATTTATCCAATTATTGGTTAGGGTATTAGTAAAATTTTAAGAAAAAAGGAATAATTAATAAAATTTTGTGAAGAATTTTTATGGTAGTTTTAGAAAGTGTTGTATAATTTTGGTGTAGGAAATTATTTGCCAAAATATCATTTTTATATTGGCAGGTTCATTCAATGGTGAGTTAGGATTTTAGTAAAATTTTAAGAAAAATATTATTTTCATGTAGATTTTGGCACATGCAGGTTCGTTGAATTCTGGTTAGGATGTTAGTAAAATTTTAAGAAAAATAAATTAATAACTAATTAGAAATTTGTGATAAATTTTATATGGTCGTTTTAGGAAATTTTGTAAGACTTAGGTGTAGGAGATCGTTAATCAAAACATAATTTAATTGAACTTTTTGCACATGACCGTTATTAGTTTGGGTGTTAGTAAAATTTAAAGAAATGAATCTAATATTTTATTAGAAATTTGTGATACTTTTATATGGTAGTTTTAAGAAGTGTTGTATAATTTTGATGTAGGAGATCGTTAGCCAAAACATCATTTAATTGAAATTTCGGCATATGACCCTGACGGGTTGATCCAATGATGGGTTAGGGTATTAGTAAAATTTTAGGAAAAAAGTAATAGTTAATTAAAAATTAGTGATAAATTTTTGTTGTGATAGTTTTAGGAAGTGTTGTATGATTTTGGTGTAGGAGATTGTTTGCCAAAACATTATTTTTATATAGATTTTGGACATGACCCTTGCGAGTTCATCTAATGATGGGCTAGGGTATTAGTAAACATTTTAGAAAAATAAATTCATAACTAATTCAAAATTTGTGGTAAATTTTATATAGTCGTTTTAGTAAGTTTTGTAAGACTTATGTGTAGAAGATCGTTAACCAAAACATCATTCAATTGAAATTTTGGCACATGACCTTGGCGAGTTCATCCAATGATGGGTGTATTAGTAAAATTTAAAGAAAAGAAAGTAATAATTCATTAGAAATTTGTGATAATCTTTTATAGGGTGGTTTTATAGAGTGTTGGAGGAATTTGGTGTGGAAGATCCTTATTGTGAACATGCAGCTATGCTATATTGGTCAAGCTGAAATGCCAAAAGATACAAAAAAAATTTCGGAATAGTTGCTAAAAGTTGGTAAGACTTATCAGAGGTCCTAATGACGGCGATATAAATATTGAGATCTCTAATGGCCTACTTATTCACCCAAGTGAGAAACCTATTGATTTTGTTTGCAAAACTATTTATCCTAACACTGTGGGTAACATTTGGACGCCAAAATTCTTTGAAAATAGAGCCGTTCTAGCAACTACGCATGATTATGTGCATAGTGTGAATGATCATATGTTGAAACTTTTACCAAGAGAGCCAAGAGAGTACTTAAGTTCAGACAATTTGGATAACACCGAAAAGTCAGAAAGTGATAAGTATAATAAATTGTTTACTCCGGAATTACTCAACAACATCAAGTTTCCTGATATGCTAAATCATAAGTTGGAGCTAAGGGTTCGTACTCCTATTATGCTGCTTGGGAATCTTGATCAGCTTGCTGGGTTGTGCAATGCTACTAGGTTACATGTTTTGTATTTGGGTAGTTGTGTAATCCAAACTGTAAGTATTTGGGGCAACAACATTAGAACAAAAAATTTTTTTTTCCCCCAAATGGTACTCCATTAGACAAAATGATGCCTTTTAGACTAAAGCACAGACAATTCATGTTCATAGTTTGTTTTGCTATGACAGTGAAAAAGAATTAATTCCAACCCCTCTTGCAAGTGGGATTGTATCTAGAACGAGCTATCTTCACACACAAACAATTATACATTGCGCTTTCGAGAGTAAAATCCAGAGAATGCTCAAACTTCTAATAAAGGACAAGGAAAGTGGTGTGACTGACCATACTACAAATGTTATATACAAAGAAGTCTTGCAGAAGATTGGAGGACATGTCATCATATTCCGTTTCTTTTTAACGATATTTGCCGTTATTCCATTTAACATTGTCTATTGTCCACTATCAAGTTTCCTATTTTTAGAGTTATTCGTCTATTTTTCAATAAAATTTATTGAAATATTTAAATATTAAATATTGTTATTGTTTTTAATATAATGTTGTACACTACATATTTATTTGTATTTATATCATTAGACATCACACAACACGTACAACGGGCTTAAATCTAGTTAGGTAAAAAAATCTAACCAATTAATGTTGAAATTTTTGTAATGTATGTGGTCAAAACTCAAAGGCAATGATTTTACACCCGGTTTTTTCTCTTCTTCCTACTCTCTTCTTTGTTTTTCTTTTTCCCTATCAATTGTTCAAACCTCAAACCTCAGCCGCTAATTCTTCCTTATCCCTCTACCTTTCTCACTGTAGTTCTCCGACTACCATCCGCCACCGCCACGCTCCTCCCATCTCCATCCCAACTCCGGCATGCCCGACTTCCCGGCAGACCCCGAGTGCTCCTTTTACTTTTAGCATCCAAAAGTCAAACCCCGATTCTCTACTTCGACTTGGATGACGGCGAAGTCTAAACTCTCCAGATTCTCCCCGCTTGAACACTTTGTTCTCCTTTTTTCTCTTTTCCTTGTTAGTTTACTTGATTTTACCTTTTTTCCCTTTCCTTCTAGATTCGCACGTGTCAATTCAGCGTTCAAAATCGTTGATTTTGTAAGGGGGGGAATAAATTGACCGATACAGTGAACAGTTGAATATTTGGAGGTGAGTGGATTAATTTATTTTAACAGTATAGGGACAAAGACAATTTTCCTTAAACTTATGTATTGTTTGTTGCTAATTGATCTTTTTTTACTGATTAACACATATGGTTTATGTTAAATAATCAACTTTTGTTTTGGTTAAGAAAAGATTTCTTCCTGAATCTTTCCAGCTTCTGCATTTTTTTTTTTAATAATTTCCGGTCACCATCGATGATGAATTGACGGGCGCCGGTGGTTTTATCGGTTGTTTCGCGGGTTATATCTATAACTGGTCGGAGTTATTTAAAACGCTCCTTTAACAATCAATCATGGTTTTAATCAAAAACAGAAAAAAAATAATGTACTTTTAATTAATTAAATCATAACGATGTTGTCCTAACCGAACATGCTAAAATTTTCCACATCATCCCTTCAAACAGTCTAGCTGGATTTCAACCCCACCACTCAAAAATTTTCCCCCAATTTTTTTTTTTTTTTTTCATAATTTCTCTTAAAAATTTCCATTCTCTTCTTCTTCTTCTTCCTTTTTCCTCTTGCTCTTAGCTGGATTTCAAAAGTTCAAACTTCAAACCAGCCAGTCCACCACCCATTTTTAATTTTTTTTTTATCATATTCGAAAATTCTCTCTTTCCTTGTTGATCTTAAGTCTTAACTTCTTAGTCTATGCAGCAGCCAATCGCCAGCAGCCATTGCTGATCTATTTGCTTACTTGAGCAAATTGAAAACTCCGTCATGTCTTTCTTTCGTTTACTTTTCTTCCTTCTTCAACAACAATAGCCTCAGTTGAAAAAAGTTTTTAATTCTTTTTTCTTTTCTGGGTCAGAGTGCGACTCTGCATTCTGCATCTCTGAATCGGATTCAGAGACTCTGCCCTGTTTCCCCTGTTTTTTTTTTCACTGCTTTTAAGGACAATAAATCTTGTAAGCTTTTACAATAACGAACAAACGTCCCTTTTTTCCCTACTTATATCGATTGACCCAATTCACCCAAATCCCATTTGGTTGACCATTTTCCTCCACTTATATATATATATAACCAGCCACAATCTACCCATATCCCACCATAAAAAAAAACATTCATTGATTCAAAGTTCAAAAGGAATCGTACTATGGAATTGCAATCCATTAGGGCTAATTTTTCAGAGTACATACCATATGTGGTTACTGCTGTGGGATTTCTTCTCTTCCTTGAACAAATTTCCTATCTGAAAAGGAAAAAGTTCTTACCAGGCCCAACACTGGTTCTTCCCTTCATAGGTAATGCAATTTCATTAGTTACAAATCCCACGAAGTTCTGGGACAAACAATCTTCCTTAGCCAAATCAACCCCTCTCGGAATCTCCTCAAACTACATCATCGGAAAATTCATTGTTTACATCTATTCCACTGAGCTGTCTCACAAAATCTTCGCCAATGTTCGCCCCGATGCCTTCCATCTCATCGGACATCCCTTTGGGAAGAAGCTGTTTGGTGAGCACAATTTGATCTATATGTTTGGCCAAGACCACAAAGACTTGAGGCGTCGGATTGCCCCTAATTTCACTCCAAAAGCATTAGCTACTTATACTTCCATCCAGCAGAGGATAATTCTCAAGCATTTGAAATCATGGCTGGAAGAGGCCGGCGGAAAAGCCATCCCACTTCGGATCCTCTGCCGCGATATGAACTTGGAAACGTCACAAACAGTGTTCGTGGGTCCCTACTTGTCTGGTGAGGCAAGGAACAGGTTCAACGTTGACTACAATTTCTTCAACGTTGGCCTGATGAAGCTTCCCATAGATTTGCCTGGGTTTGCCTTCAGGAACGCCAGATTAGCAGTTCAAAGGTTAGTTGACACGCTTACTGTGTGCGCGGAAGAAAGCGAGAAGAAAATGCAACACGGAGAAGAGCCCACTTGCTTGATTGATTTCTGGATGCAGGAGAATTTGAGGGAAAAAGCCGAAATCGAAGCCAAATCGAAAGAATCCGGCGATCACGCTCACGAGGCAAGCAAATACAGCCACGAAGAGCTCGGCGGACATTTGTTCGACTTCCTCTTTGCAGCTCAAGATGCTTCCACTTCTTCATTGTTGTGGGCTATTGCCCTTTTAGATTCGCACCCCGAAATTCTCGAAAGGGTCCGGTCGGAAGTCTCGAAATACTGGAACCCGGAATCCGGCGAGCCCATCACCGCCGAGCAGATGAGGGAGATGAAGTTCACGGAGGCGGTGGCGAGAGAGGTGATCCGGATCAGAGCTCCGGCGACGATGGTGCCGCACATTGCCGGAAAGGAGTTCCCCTTGACTGAGAATTACGTCATTCCCAAGGGGACCATCGTTTTCCCGTCGGTGTTTGACTCTTCGTTCCAAGGGTTCACTGAACCGGATCGGTTCGACCCGGACCGGTTCATGGAAGAGAGGCAGGAGGATCGGGTCTACAAGAGGAACTTTCTAGCTTTCGGAGCCGGGGCCCACCAGTGCGTGGGCCAAAGGTACGCTATCAACCACCTGATGCTGTTCATAGCCATGTTTTCGACGCTGGTGAATTTCAAGAGGGAAAGAATGGACGGCTGTGATGACATCGCCTATGTTCCCACCATTGTTCCCAAGGACGATTGTAGGGTGTTTCTTTCCCAAAGGTGCAAGAAATTCCCCACTGTTTCATGAAGAAGGAGGGTCTGGCTGGAAATTCCAAGGTTCGTTGAGGGGCACAAGTGCCAAATGATAGTCAGAACAAAACATCATTATTTTTATTTGTTGGTGGGGTGAAATTTTCAAGAATTCTTTAGGTTGTTGTAAAGAAATGTGGTCTGCGTGTGTATTCTTTTGTGAGATTTTTCTTTGTTCAATTGGACTGGTGAGGGTGGCCAGAAGCCAAAACTATTGGGTTCTCATTGAAATGTTGGGTGGGAATTAATGGGTTTGTTTCAGCAATTCCAAAAAATTGTTACTTTTGCACATTTTGGTCATAGCTTTCTTCTCCCACTCTGTATAACATGGTGTCTGTATGTTGAGTTGTAGTTACTTTCTTTGTGCAGAGGCACAAGGCCTAGCTTTCAAATTCTTACATTACGCAGGCATGACACCCCAATTAAATGTTTCACAAAAGCCGGTGATACATTTAGGGTATGTTTGTTTCGTTTTTTAGTGTGTGTTTTTGGTTATTTTTTATATTGGAAGTATAAAAATGTGTATTGGAAATGTAAAAAAGTATACTGAGATGTGACAGGTAATAATATAATAATTTTTAAAAACCATCTAAAAATTGAAACAAACAAAGCCTTAATTTCTTATACTTGAAGGAGTCCTGAGTTGGACTTTGAAATGCTAGATAACTAGCCAAAAGTATATGATTTCTAGTCTTTAGTTTCCCAATTGTAACTTGTACGTTGCAAATTCGGTTTGGTTTTAGACTTTGTTAAAGGTCCTCTTCATGATTCATTATCCGTGTGCTGTTCGTTTACTTTTAGGATTACTTTAATCTTTGTGGGGTTGTATTGTGAATTAAACTATTGATGGGATTGTCTGTTTTTGTACCAAATTGCCAATTGGGACGTTGGCTTGATAGAACTGGAAATGTTTGTCTTTTTGGCGTTTGATTCGGCTTTGATAATGTAGTAGCATTAAGTCCTATTATTATTATTATTATTATTATTATTATTTTGGTCGGTGGAATGGTGGTCTCAACCAGTTGTCATGCTCATGCATCCCCCAATTATATATCAACTTATCAATATCCTTATCAAACCAACTTGCTGGTTAAGTCAATTCTTCAAATGAGGAACCGAGTTAGTTGTGCCTATGGTGAATTAGGATGTTGGTTTGGTTAATCGGGATGTTGAAAGTTCAGTTCTTAATATTGATGCGGAAATACAAATACCAGACTCCCCATTAGTCTCTTTTAAGCAATATTTGAAAGAAATCAAATGTGTAAAATCACTCATTAGCTATTTGTCGGTGTTTTAGCCTTTAATGTTAATTGACTTGTCCATAGTGTTTTTCAAATCCCGATGAGGGTTAAATTTCACTTTTCGCAAAGGGTTGATCTAACCTTGTACTAGGTCGATGTTCTATTTTATTTTAAAAATGTGATCTCACAAACGGTTAAGACTTAAGACATTACATGCTTTGTTTAGATTTGGTAATCTGTTTAAGTACATCCTCAAAGGTTAAGTTATGACTTATGATTATAACTAGTGATGTTTGGAATGCGCGACCCTGGCCCAGTATATCTGTAGATCTTAAAAATGTTTATATTTGAAAAAAAATATTTTATATTTGGCCCGATATATTTTAGAAATGTTTGAAGAATTTAGAAATGTTTTATAAGTATGATCATAGAAATGTTTTATTTGACAAAAAAAAATTGCATTTAGCCCGGTACGTTTTAGAAATATTTGAAGATTTTAGAAATGTTTTATAAGTGTTACTTATTAAATATAAATAAACTTGATCAAATATATGTCTTGAAGTACTAGTGATGTCTGGTCGCGCAATGCGCGACCCTGGCCCAATATATCTGTAGATCTTAGAAATGTTTGTATTTGGAAAAAATATATTTTATATTTGGCCCGATATATTTTATAAATATTTGAAGAATTTTAGAAATGTTTTATAAGTGTGATGTTTGTATTTGGCAAAAAAAATAAATTGTATTTGGCCCGGTATGTTTTATAAATGTTTGAAGATTTTAGAAATGTTTTATAAGTGTTACTTCTTAAATATAAATAAACTTGATCAAATATATGTCTTGAAGTAAATGATAGACAAAATATAAATGCATCCTAAAAAGTTTAAATATTAGTAAGATAATTTATTGATGTTCTCCATTGGTTGTGCCAAATTAATACTTAGTTTTGGAGATTTATAATAGCTTTGTAGTTAGCTTCCTCCAAAGGGTATACGCTTAATTGCTGGAACTATTTCTTCCAAAGTTTATAGGTAGTAAAATATCAAAAATATGATTTTGAAACTGGTTAATTGTTAAAACTGGTTGATCACAAATATGAGAATGAAAATAATTGTAAATTTGCATAGGTTTCAATATATAGCAAAAAAGAACTCACCTCACCATGGCAAATAAAAAAAAAAAGAAGTAAAAGATAGCCCATCAATAAGGGAATATAAGATTTTTTTTCCCTTTGTGTTTATATAGAGAGGTAAAGAGAATATTTTTTGAAGTTGAAATTTTATCCGATTAAGATGTAGTTGATCATCACTAATGAAAAGATTGAACATGCTAATAGGAAAGGAGTATATTTCACCACATATTCTCAATTGATGATTGATGAGGAATTTTTTTTATTTTTTTAATTGTGGAGAAGGAATTGATTAAGAAGTCGATTGTCGTGGAGATGGGGATGAGGATTTGGGGTTTTTATGAACCCGTGGTTTTTTTTTTTTTGACGGAAATAGGAGGTGGAAGTGAATTTAGACTACATTTGCCTTTTAAATTTAGGAGATGTGGAAATAAAAATTTATTTTAAAAATATGATGTGAAAATGCCACATGGCAAATGCCACGCTTTCTCTTAAGTGTGGTTTTTGTTTCTAATATAGTAAGAAATGTTAGACAAAATATAAAAGTATCCTAATAAGTTTAAATATTAGTAAGATGATTTATTTATGTTCTCCGTTTGTCGTGCCGAATCAATACTTAATTTTGGAGATTTATAATAGTTTTGTAGTAAGCTTACTCCGAAGGGTATACGTTTAATTATTGGAACTGTTTCTTCCAAAGATTTATATGTAGTAAAATATCAAAAATATGATTTTGAAACTGGTTAATTGTTGAAATTGGTTGATCACAAATATGAGAATGAAAATTAATATAAAGTTGCATAGGTTTCAAGTTATAGCAAAAAAGAACTCACCTCACCATGGCAAATAAAAAAAAAGTAAGTAAAAGAGCCATTAAAAATTGAGAAATTATTTTTTTTTCCTGTAGGTAAAAATGATGTATAAAAACACAAATAAACGTAGAAACATCATTCTTTCCCTCTCCACCTCAAATTCTTCTTCCCCATAAATTAGTTAAAAGAAGCGACCTGAACTATTTATATGATGAGGAACTCAAAAAAGTTCAAAAACCAAATCCAAAAAAGTATATTCTTGAAAGCCCGAACACAAAAAAAAAAATCACTTCATTTGCACAAAAATAATAATAATAATAATACTAATTGGTCAACTGGGAGTATGAAATAAAATAAAAAATAATTAAATAAAGAAAAAACACAATTCATAACAGACCATATACGAAAAAAACTGAGACTCCATAACTAAAAAAAAGAAAACCACTCTAATTGAATGAAACATAAAAAAAAAAAAATTAAAAAAACCACACTTTGTAACAAAAACCCAATTGATCAATTCAATCTAAATAGAACTAAAATCATACAAAAATTCTAGGCTAATTAACCATATAAGAAATCACATCATATTACCTAGCAACAGCTACGGTAACTGTAACGGGTGGACGCATAAAAATAATAATAATAATACTATTCTATGAACGGTAAAAAAAAAAAAAGCCGTACAAATAATCTGTGGATATAAAATCATTTAAATTTTAATATCTGTAATGGCACTACCACAACGACCGAAGCAAGATCAATGAGAATTTTTTTTTTTTCCTTTGTGTTTACATGGAGAGATAAAGAGAATATTCTTTGAAGTTAAAATTTTATTCGATTATGATGTAGTTGATCATCACTAATGAAAAGATTGAACATGCTAATAGAAATGAGTATATTTCACCACTTATTCTCAATTGATGATTGATGAGGAATTTGTTTTATATATATTTTTTTTATTGTGGAGAAGGAATTGATTAAGGAGCCGATTGTCGTAGAGATGAGGATGAGAATTTTGGCTATTTATGAAGCCGTGTTTTTTTTTTTTGTTTTGACAAAAAATAGGAGGTGGAGATAGATTTGGACTGCATTTGCCTTTTAAGTCTAAGAAACTGATGTGTAATAAAAATTTATTTTAAAAATATGATGTGGAAATGCCACATGGCAAATGGTGGTGCTTTCTCTAAAGTGTGGTTTTTGTTTCTAATATAGTAAGAAGATATGATATAAGAGAAATATCGTAAAAAAAAGTAATAATATACATTTAGTTCATAAATTTCCCTAAGAAAATGTGATGATATACGTTTAGCTCATAAAGCTTCCCTCATAACGCAAAAAGTAAAAAAATAAACATTACTTTGGTCTTCTGATGAGCAATGTCTCTTGACTGACAACCATTAATTTTATATTATGAGGCCAAAGGAATAAAAAAAGCTTATGTTAAGGACTAAAAAATGATAACACAAAATTATGTGGCTGTCTTTTATAAATTATATTTATAGTTAGGTTCTACAAACCCGTTTACCCCGGTAACTCCAACCCGTTTTCCATTCTCTATTTTCGCGCCATTTATAATTTCCCTCCTAAATTTCTCCACTTCCCCATTCCTGACTCCTGGGGAAAGTTGACTGTGTGAGTGTGTGAGAGAGAAACCAAGAAGGCGATGAATTCGAGGGATTGGGTGGTACTTTCAGCTGCTGCAGCGTTGGGCGCATTGGCATCTTCCTCTGCTGTATCATTTTACTTCTTCTTCGCCGCCAAAAGAAACCGCTCAGCTTTCTTTTGTTCCTCCGCCGGCCGCAGCCGCCGCAGGAGCAGCAGCCACAACGCCGTCACATTTGGCTCCCATTCGAATTCGTTATCTAATGGGTTCGCCGAGAATGAGGAGAATAAGTCCCAGCCTCGAGACCCTTTTGATCCGTCCAAACGGAAAGGGTTAGTTGATTTCATTTTATTTCTGATTTGTACTTAATTATGGTGTTAAAAGGTTGGAGTTTGAATTGATTCCGCGTATGATTCGAATTTTGTTTTGGCTGATTTACAGATATTTGTCATGGGATGACTATTTTATGGCAATTGCATTTCTTTCTGCTCAGAGGTCTAAGGATCCTAATAGGCAGGTAAACTGTCATTCTGATTTTCCATTGATGTGATGTTTTTTGCTTGTGGTACTTTGGTATCCAAGGAGTATTTTGTTTGTTTCGAACTTAATAATACTCAAACAGAAAGGAAGGGAAATCTGAATAAGGCAGCAAAATGAGGTGAACATCACTGAAAGACATTTTCTTTATGCTTTGTTTGTGGGAAGCTTTGGGAGTTTTGGAAGGGATCTGAATGCTTGTCGAGAATATTTTTGGGTTTTCTTTGAAGCTTCTGTTCCAATTTTCCTACTTCACTGCCGTGTTCCTATGTAAAATTGTCAAAGTGAGTGGTTTTAACGTTTAGTATATTGGTAAATGGTCATTAATGTAGTCTGGTCAGGGCGTAGGGCCAGGGGAATACTTCATCTATGATGCCTGACTTTGATCTTTTGTTATTGTGTTTTCCTATCCTTACTATTCTACCTTCATACTGTAGGTTGGTGCATGCTTGGTTAGTCAGAACGATGTCATTCTAGGTAAGATGGCTTCAGAAACTCACTCATCATTATTAGTGAACTGGGTTATACCTTGAACACTCACAAGCACAATATTAGATGCATATAAGTGTCCCCATTAGGAAGACCTTCAAATGTGCGCACAATCATTTGAAATTTGTTGAGGAATTTTTTTAGTAAGGTTCATCAGATGATTGTCTTGATGGAGTTTATTAGTTTGATTGCTCTGTTTGAGAATTTAGGATCCTAGATATTGACTTTCTAGATCAAGTCCCCAGGTTCCTTGATGTAGAAAGTTCATGAAATGAACAAAAAGTAGTGCAATTAACTTTTGAAATCGGATGTCCTAAGTCCACCATTTCTTCACTCAAACACTATACCTTTTGCTTGAGTCTGGTGGAATGTTTTCTACCATTATAGATGAAAATTGGAGCTGTTATGGTTGGAAATGATTGTAATTTTAGCAAACATGAAGTGATTCTTGGGGATAGACTCACTCTTCTAACCAATACATTCTGACCCGGCTCATGTTTGACCACAAGGAAGGGGTAAAGATGGTTTATGTCCCATTAAGTTCAATTTGTGCTGAGATTTTAATTCTCTGGCAGGCATTGGGTATAATGGATTTCCACGCGGCTGTTCAGATGACAAGCTTCCTTGGTCAAAGGTTGCCATATTGCTGAATTTCAAATTTAGTAACTAAATTTGTCATTCTATATTTCGATAATTACTTTGCCATTGCAGAAATCAAAGAGTGGAAATCCCTTAGAGACAAAATATCCGTAAGTTTTGTGTTTTTGCGGTAGAATATGTTTGTCAATTGATGTCCAGGTTTATAAAACTTATTCTATTTCTAAAGTCACTCAAAAAATCTGTACTCTTAACTGTTTTTTTGAATCCTAATTATTGTGGTCATTTTACTGGCCACCTCTTATTTTGTATCGGACATTTCTTCAAATGACTGACTTACGATTTTTTGACATGATACTTGTGTCACAGTTATGTTTGTCATGCTGAACTGAATGCTATTCTCAACACAAATCATGCATCTGCAGAAGGACAGGTTTGTTCGGCTTGCACTTTGCCTTTTCCTTAGGTCTTTCGTTAGTGTCATAACTTTTCTCTTACTCTGCATTCCAAGTTTCCAACAAAAGAAACTATGTTAAGGTGATAAAATCAAGGAAAAAGAGCTGATTAATCATAATTTTAATTTTGCTATGGGAGAATTAAGACAAGTTTTGATTGTTTATTATTGCAGAGGCTTTATGTGACAATGTTTCCTTGCAACGAATGTGCAAAGATGATCATTCAGGTGAAAAAGCAATCCTTATATATTCCTTCAATTTAATTGTTGTTACTTTCAGTTATTTCCTTGTTATAATCACTGTACAGTTCCACTTCCTATATCCACATATTCCCCTACTTTAGTTAGAAGGAGTTTCATCTAGACCAATGTTGTAGCCAGGTTTGTAAATTTCTTTACGGTCTTCTAACCAGAGTGCACAAATAATGAATGTGTTGGAAGGACTAATCCTGTGTACTTTAGAAATCTAAAATTGCAGCCTTTTGGGGTTAGAAAAGATCTTAAGAAATTCGTTTTTGCTGACTATTATGATTCAAAAACATGTTAGAACGATGCCAGCATTTCAAGGAACCAAAAAAACTATGAGCTACGGCAGTTAGAAATTAAAGCCACACAGATTACCACACCAGCATTGTTACATTTCCCTACGTCCTCATATTTCATGACATCTATACCTATTTGAAATATTTCCGTAAATGTCTTTATCTAGCTATTATAACTATAACGTTTGGATTGGGCCCTTTTCTGCAGTCAATATTAAGTGATGTGATCAGGTAGATATAACTGCAGTACACCCTGAGCAAGGCGTGGTATTGTTTACAAACGGAAACAAGAAATAAAAAGAAAAAACAAAAAAGAGAAATGGGCAGAAAAAATTTAAATGTTGATAGTTTCCAAATTTTTTTGCCTGAAGACATTGAGAAATGGAGACCGGATAACAGTTTTCAATTGCAAAATGCTCATTAAGTGAAACAAATGTGCAAGTTAGTCTACTCCTGGAGAGTGGCTGTCAAAGAAAACAGCTGAGACACTGGCGTACTGACTACTGAGGAGATAAAATGCCTTTAAAGTTGATTATACACCAATGACATATAAGATGGCTATTTTATCTGTAGCTGCATTACAACTTTGTGTACCTTCCTAAGTTATGTACATTCCCTTGCAGGCAGGTGTTTCAGAGGTTATCTATTTTGTGGAGAAGAGGTTGGACAATTCTCAAACGGCCTATGTTGCTTCGCATAAACTTTTATCAATGGCTGGTGTAAAAGTAAGTTTTTTTGGTTACTAAGACTATGAATTTCCAGTTTAAAGTAGTCCCTTCACTCGAATCTTACAGCTCTGGAAACGACTAGTTTTATGGATTGCGTTTCGTCACTTCAGGTGAGAAGACATGAGCCTCAGATGAATCAAATTTTAATCAAGTTTGAGGAGCTCTAGGTAATCTGGAATCTTGTTGCCTCGGGTTGCTGTTTTCACTGCAGTAAGAGTCCATTTAGCTTGGTGCGATTGAACTTGGAGGAAAACCACGTGATTAGTTTTTGAAACTAACTTGAGCAATCAAAAATCTGCGGCTTCAGAATTCCTAATCCGATTGTTCAATCATCCTCAGTCTCGGATATACGGTTCATTTGGTTGGTTGGTTGTTGTATGTTTGCGCATGATTGCTAGTTGCAATCAGATGCAGTTTTTCTAATCATACTTAACATGTGGTGTAACTAGGAACTATGTAGGTTGTTTGAATTTTGTGGTTTTACTTAAACGTATAATGTACCCTGCAAGATGATATGAGCTCTTGTCCCCTATTTTCACCCCAAACGGACTGACGGCCAATCTCCCTAATTCGAACTAATCTTTAGGATTTGTTATTCAAATTCGATTGAAAACTGATGTCCACTCATTTTATATTTTTAACTTATTTTATCTCTTAAATACAAAACCCAATACAAACCAAATTGACATCTAAACAACTTTCTGATTTACATTTTAAAATCAAACTTGAAACATTTTGTTAGTGCAGTAACCATTTTTTGAAATAAAAATAGTTCAGTGACTATTCAAAGCTTTGCACATTTATTTCAGTTTACCTCTAGTCACAAAATTGAGACCCAATCGGATGGTAGTTAGGAAAAAGTTTTTGGAATATTATTGAAATATCAAATACGAAAAATATCACTAAATAATCGAAAAATGTCAATTTTAGTCATTGTAAAAAAGAATTTAAAAAATGATCACTAAAAACAACGGAAAAGTGTCAATTTTGGTCACTATAAAATATTGATTTTAGAAGCTATTCCGTGATTTTAGTGATCATTTTATAGTAACTAAAATCGACACTTTTCCATTGTTTACTGATCATTTTCAAAATTCTTTTTTTACAGTGACTAAAATTGACACTTTTTAATTATTTAGTGATATTTTTTGTACTTGATATTTCAATACATATTCCAAAAAACTTTTTCCCAACCACCATCTAAACAACTTTTTGCTAAAATACCATCCAAACAAGTTTTTCATCTTCTATTATATTTTCCACTTAAAACACTTTCTACATTCAAGTTGAAAATGAAAACAAAACTGACGTCCAAACAAGCACTTATCTCCCGAACAAATTTGAAAATTTAATGTGGACTATTTTTTTTTGGGACGGAAGGAGTAGGAAAATATCTTTGTTTAAAAATAGGTTTTTTGTAGCTTGATGTACTCCATATATCCAACAAAAATTAATTTATTAATTTAAAATTTAAAGATACTATAAAATTCCGCGACTTAGTTTCATTTCTTTTTGATGGTCTACCTAGATGTGTTTCGAGGCTCACAAAAGAAGGGCAGGCCCTAGTGCACAGTAACTAACTTTATCAGTTTATATTGTTTAGGAACTGTGTGGCCAGATTGAAAAGTACAGAATAATTATTGGTTCCGAATAATTATTACCCTACAGGCCCCAACGAACCGTACTGTACCCTGAAGAAAGTTGACAATTACTTAAATAAAGAAAAGAGATACTATTTGGATCATAGTTTTCAAAATTCCGATCCGGATCTTAGAATCCTACGATCTTACCATTTAGAATTAGAAAATCGATCCTGGATCTTATGAAATCCTTCTTTGTAGTGAGATTTTATAGAATCCTTCAAAATCCCAATCCAAATCGTAGAATCCTACGATCCAGCGATCCCATTGATTTTGTCGATACTTGTACAAATTATTGATTTCGTATTAAAAAGAGGGAAAAATGATTAGAAAAGATATAAAAGTTAAAATTTTGAGTTGGTGATACTTCTGCGGGAGCTAATATACTTTTCCTCTATAAATCAATCAAGAATTAAATTAATAAATTGAAACTCGCAATTTCAGAATTATTATAATATTTTAAGTGTTTCGATCCTGCCAATCCGATCCCACCGATCCAGAATCCGATCCGATCTTGAGATGCCAAAACGATCCCGAGTAAAATCTCGATTTTGAAAACATTGGTTTGGACATCGGACAATATTATTGTCTAGTCTTAACCAAAAAAAGAAAAATTTAAAACAATATATTGTTTGGTGTTTTGTATTTACTACCACTAGTACTTACTTACCCACACTTCGTGCGGACTGTAATGGTTTTTTCATTCAAAAAAATTAGAAAATATTTTTTTCTTATTTTGTAAAACAATACAAAATCTACCTTTTTTTTTTGGAAAAAGTTATAAAATCTAGTATTTTCTTTCAAATTTATTCTTAAAAAAAAATTTGAACCACCTATAGTAAATTGACACTCTAAACAATAATTTTCAAATAATAATGTCGTTAAAGTTTAAATTTGAACCACCTATAGTAAATTGACACTCTAAACAATAATTTTAAAGTTTAAATCAAAGCCCTCAACTTATATGAATATCGTAACTAAATAAAACTCAAAACATCCTATTTTATAAACTGCAAATAATAGATGGTAAAAAGTTAATAAAAAAAAATTGCTCTTATAATTAATCATGCTTCTCAAAGAAAAAAGAGAAGATGCACTCTTTCAATTAAAAAAATTCATCACAATAGTCCGCACCACCTCCATTTAACCATATAATACTTACCACCAATCGTAAACAATTCACATAACCACCCCTACCATTTTAAAAAATGAAACAAAATCTTATATAACTACTATCTTCTGTTTCATCTAACAAATATGTTTAGTTGGAATTTTTTAATCTTAAGTAAAATTATAAAATTATTAGTATTGAGGGATAATATTTATGTTTTTACTATGTATTTTGGCTAAACTTCTAATTGCGCTTCGGGTATGCGAAAAGCATTTTATATTAATATATAGATATTGCAATGTACTATACAGATGAAGTACTAGCAGTATGGAGAAGAAGGATTAAAATGTGATACAGATTAAACTACAAATTTCAATATACCACAGACCAAACTAATTTGAAGGGCTTTTATTGACCGTTTTGTGGGTTATTATTAATATTATTATTTATTTTTTGTTTTAAAATAGCCTAAATATCTCCTAAGCCCTAATGTGTCTTAAAAAAAAATAGAGAAAAGAATAAGAGTAATAATTCTTCCAAAATAAAACTAAAAAAAAAAAATTGAGTGACAAAATACTTAAATAATATTTTTTGACTAGCCTGATTTAATTTACATTAAGCTTTCTAATTTTTCATTTTCTTTTCCTTTTATTCTTTCAGGTTACACAAGAACCCACGGTGACACGGTGTAATAGTCTATCAACCGTGGTACAATATTTACCTTAGATTTTGGACGACAAGTTATGATGACGAATTAATAAAAGTTTCTTTTTTATTTTCCCTGGAATTTTGTCCAAGTGTGTATTAACTTCAGAAATAGTATTATCGAAAAACAAAACAAAATTAAGGCTTTGTTTGAATCCATGTTTTACAAGGTGTTTTTCCTTTTCATTTTTTAAATGAATTTTTATGACTAGTACCTCTATTGTTTTTCATAATAAATATTTTTTGCATTTTAAAATAAGTGTCATTGAACAACTTACATAAAATTTAAGAAACTCTGACTTACCTCATTACAAATATTTTCCACTAATACTATTTCTTTTGAGTGTAATTTTGAAAAATTTGGACAAAAATTACATTAGAATTAGAAAATGACATTTATTTTAGAAAAGTACCTCTTTTATTATGATATAAGTGCCATTTTAGTAAAAATAAAAAATACTAAGTGCCATTTTCTAATTTTAATGTAATTTTTGGCCGAATCTTTCAAACTTATCCCCATAAGAAATAAAATTAATGGCATATACTTGTTTTAATGGGGAAAATTGAGGATTTTCTAATAAGTAATCTATCTTATTTAAGAGTTTCTTAAATTAAGTGTAAATTGTCTAGTTACACTTCTTTTAGAATTGAGGGAGTATTAAATAAAATGATTTCATTATTATTCTTTTAACTAAATGATTTATTCCCCTGTCTCGAAATGATTTGTTAGTTTAAATTTTTATTTTAGTTCAATTTTAGGGCAGAGAAAGTACAATTTTCTTAGCCATAATCATTAATATGATGAGCCTAATAATCTAGTTTGAATTTATAATTTAAATACGATTTGTACTAAAAATAGAATACAAACTAAATTAGATAAAAATTTGAAAGGGAGAGTATTTGAGACGAATAACTAAAATTAATAAATTTTATTGGTACTTATAGAATGAGTATATTCACAATCCTAAGATATACGTATTTTTTTTAAAAAAAAATTTCAAAAAAAAAATTTTACATCCTAAACGAGAAAACACACATTTGAGAAAGTTCCAAACCGAGACTTTGTTTCACCAAAGAACGGCATTAATTTCGTTGGTCACAAATCTCTAGTCGTTTTTTTTTTCTCTTGCCGCATTATTTTCATAAATTTTTTTATATTTTTCCTCTAAATCATTTTTCCCTTCCCAAAAAGATTTATATCAACCAAAAGGGTAAAACGTAAAAACAGGAAGAAAAATAATGGCTCATCATAATCAACAGAACCTGTGACGGACCCACCATCCACCTCTACAAAATCAACAATACGAGGGTATGTTTGTTTTCTTTTCTTAATCTATATTTTTAAGTATTTTTTTATTGATAGTATAAAAAAATGTATATTGAATATGTAAAAAAATATATTGATATGAAATATATTATATTATTATATTATTCTGAAAAAACTATAAAATATAAGTAGGAAACTAACAAATCCTACTATTTATACGGAATCTACCATCGTCACTGCCTTTAGTAATACAGTATATAAGCAGTTCCAGAACAATTGAACAGTGGACATCGTAGCCTCCGAAAATAAACCCCCCAAAAAAAGAAAAAGATGTACTCGAAAATTCCTTTCCTTCCTCCAAGAAGCCAAACCCAGAATCTAAAAAGTCAAATAAAGTTTCGATTTTGATGATGATGTTGAGAGGTTTTCTTAATAGTAATAATGATCGTCAGATAGATGAGAATTGGCTTCAGTCACTCTTTCTTTCTTCCTTCGGAAGTTTAATCACACTCCATAAATGCTTTTTGTTTACTTGCTTTTGGGTGCTTCCCAAATCCTGCATTTGGGTCTCTGTCGTTTTCGACACGTTCTTCTGGTGATTTAGTAAGTTTTCAACTTTCGGTTTCGGAGGAGGACAATAAATTTGATTATGCTCTGTTTTCTTCCCTGTTGTTTTTTTCAACTTTTAACTGTTGATAATTGACTGCGACGTTAATGCTTTTTTTTCTTTTTTTGATTGAGAATTTACTTGTGGTTCGGGTTAAATTCCGAAGTCTTAATGGGTTTTCATTGAACACTGTATATGAATGCTGTTCTCTTCCTTTCCTCTTTTCCGTAAAGATCGGTTTGCGGGAATTGCATTATTGAGATCACTGTTTTTCTTTTTTTTCCTTTTGTTTTTGTTTCGTAGACTGAGACAAAGGATATTCACATGTTCTTCTGGTAATTTGTGAATGTCTCAAGGTTTGATGAGTAACAGCATTGTCTTTGGTTAAAGAATTGGTTTTTGGTTGCGTTTAAAATTCAATTATGGCTGAACACAGTCGCTCCTCATCCAGTGAGTTCCCTCTGCGATCGTTATCTTGTTTCTGTTTGAGTTGGTTTTTACCAAACGTGGGATTATGCGTTGAGTTGGTATCTTAGCGAAATAAGGCTCTTTTGTGTATGTACTGCTGAATTTAGTTGCTGTTTGCACCCGTTGGATTCTGATTGTAACTTAATTCCTTTCTGACAGAAAGAAAAAGGGAAGCTATGGATTCAATTGATATGTCATTGGATTCTGATACTGGAGGGGTTTCGGCTGATCCTGTCCCTAGAAAGTGAGGCTTTCCCATTTACTCTCTTATTATACTTCTTGGAACGCTGCCATAGGTTATATTTTTACTAAAATTGTATGTTGCAACTTTTGATGGTGGACAGTTATCAGTTGGAAGCACTGGAGAAGGCAATCAAGCAGAACACGGTCGTGTTCTTAGAAACTGGTTCTGGGAAGACATTGATTGCAATAATGCTCCTACGAAGCTATGCGTACGCTATTCGGAAGCCTTCACCTTTCATTGCTATTTTTCTGGTCCCTACCGTTGTTTTGGTAAATCAGGTGCACGACACTGAACCTGAAGCTATATAAGTGTGTGCACATTTTTCTCTTTCTCTGAGTTATTGAAGATACCGTGTTTTAGTTGTTGTTATGATTTAGCTGGGCAAATGTAAAAATCAACTCCATTGTTGGGATGAGATGTGATATATTTATACCTGACTTGCATCTATTCTCCAGCAAGGTGATGTGGTAAAAAGGCACAGTGACTTGAAAGTGGGAAAGTATTGGGGAGATATGGGCATTGATTACTGGGGTGCTGCTACATGGGAGCAGCAAGTTAAGGAGTACGAGGTAATAATTTCTTTCCTCTGGGGAGCGGTGGTTTCTAATTAGTTCTGCCAATCATTAGTTGTATAGGAGGACCGAGGTAAAATGTTCTTGTTTAGGTGAATATGCTGGATATACACTGACCTGAGTCCCCTGATTAGGTGCTTGTGATGACTCCAGCAATTTTGCTTTCTGCCTTGAGGCATGGCTTTTTGAAACTTGACATAATCAAAGTTCTCATCTTTGATGAATGCCACAACGCGAGGGGCAAACACCCATATGCATGCATTATGAAGGTGAATATATTGTCAAAGTTCAGGTTTGCGATGATATTCTGATGTTGCTTATGAATTGTACTGAAAGCACATACAAGGGTGCCTAGATCTGCTTTGCTTGTTTTACATGTATTCGAAGGCGGCCTCTTTGTCACTTCTCTGTAATTGATCTTGTAATTTAGGTACCCCAAAAGATGGAGACTGCCTGGTGTTTAATTTGTTCCTTCTCCTTTGGCTTTCTGCTTTACAAAAACAATCACAAGAACTTATGTTGTTCATTCTCTTGCAGGAGTTCTACCATCTATACTTGGAGTCTGGTTATTCAAACCTTCCTCGAATATTCGGAATGACTGCTTCCCCTATCAAGGCTAAAGGTTAACCATTCGTCTAAGTTATTATTTCGATTCTAATGCTTTTTGGGAAGACATCAAAATGAGTATAGCTGAGGTGGTCATCAATGTGCCTCTTTCCTGTAGGTTCTAGTTCCCCATCTGTCTGCTGGCAACAGATTCATGAACTTGAAAACCTTATGAACTCAAAGGTTGGTTGTGTTGTATTTTATATTTCTAAACTAAATATTCGATATCTTATTAAATGCCTGGCTACTTTCTAAAATGCTGCAGTTTACAGTAGTTGATGTTCTAGGATTTTTTTCCTTTAATTTAATTGGTTGATTCACATCTCTGTAATTTTCTTGGTCTTCACTTGTAAAGATATAAGTTATAGAAGCTAATGATTTCTTTGAGTAAGTACCTAGGAGGGAAAAAGACAAATTAGATTTTCTTGTTTTTAAACTAGGAAATAGTTGTATTGCCAATCAGAGGAAAAATTCCGAAATTATTTATTTATTCTTTTCTTGCCTAATTCTTAGGATGTACTTGAAGTAATGCACTTGAAATAATTCTGCAGTTCACCACTTTAACTTGTTTTGTTACTGCTGCTGATTTATGTGCTTTCTTGTCTTATCAATGAAGGTCTATACCTGTGTTAATGAGTCCGTTATTGCGGAGCATGTACCATTTTCAACACCAAAGCTGAAGCTTTACGTGCACATAGATGTACCTTCCGATCTTCATCAACATGTAGCAAGTCAACTGGGAATGTTAAAGGGAAAGGTGTGCTGTGAAATCTTTGTAGCAATTTGTATAGTTAACAATTTATAGATTAGTATTGTGAAAAAATAAATCAGTATACCCTTTCACCAAATAAAGGAAGACTTATTGCATGGAATGGAAATTCAGTTATTGATGGTTTTGTTTTACTTATGCTCTTTCAACAGTATGAAAATACCGTTCAAAAGTCGAGCTTCTCAAAATCAATTGCTGAAAGTACAAGGAAAAGGTTGGATAAGGTTTACTCAACTCTGTTATTCTGTGTAAACGAGCTTGGTATTTGGTTGGCTGTTAAGGTATTTCTCTCTTGTACATGCATGGGTTTATATGAGCATTTCTCGCCTTGATTAATTTTATTTACAGAATCTTGATTTCTTCAGGCGGCAGAATGCTTTTCTCGTGTAAAAACTGACGTCCTCTCGTGGGAGAGGTTGGATGGGCGCGGCGAAGCAATTGTGAAGAATTTCTCTTCAGAGGCTTCTTCAATTTTATCTGAATGCATGCCATCTAGTAATGTTCCTCTTAAAGGCTTTTATTTCAACCTTTTAGTGGCATTCAACTGTTTGTTCCTGAACTTGCTGGTCCCTTTTGCTTTAAACACAGGCCCAGAGTGGTGTATTGGTTGTGACACAGATGCAGATATCAATGCAGGCTATTTAACCTCAAAAGTTATCTGCCTCTATGATTCCCTGCTTGAATACAGGTTAGGCTTCTGTCTTTTTTGAATGGCTCCTTAACTTCAGGGTGCACATGCATCCATAAATGTTAAATGTTATTAAACTCGCATTGTTCAAGCATCTTGACATGTCATTTTTTAATCAGAACAATGACTAATACTTCCATAATAGGAAATGCATCTTTTTAGCAACCTAAAATTAACTTGAGACATTTGTGTTGAATGAATTGAGGAATAGATTGGGTCATTTGTGGAGCATTTGGTGTTTGTTTAAAAATCCTGATAATTCTTCAATTGGTAACTCATTCAACAGTATTGATCTCCAACATTTGAAAGTCTTGTGTGATAGCCTGAGTTCTTGTCTGAAGTAACTGCTAGTCATAATTCGATGAGTGAGGTTTAGGCTATTGAAGTTGCTTACAAAGATACAAATTTAGCCTCCAAGAAACTGATTGCAGTTCTTTACAAATTCCATCTCCGCAGGGATCAGAAAGAGTTGAGGTGTATAATATTTGTTGAACGAGTTATTACAGCTATTGTTCTTCAAGCTCTTCTAAATGAGTTGCTCCTTAAAAGATGTGGTTGGAGGGCTGCATACATGGCAGGAAATAACTCCAGTCTGAAGTCACAGAGCAGGAACGAACAACATCACGTTGTTGATGATTTTCGTAAAGGCACGGTATGTTTCTAGTTTCAATATGGTACCAGGCAATTGGAAGAATGAATATTATTGGGGAATGAGATTTTTATAATCTTCTACATGATGTATTGCCAGCTACATATCATCGTTGCAACCTCAATTCTTGAAGAAGGCTTGGATGTTAAAAGCTGCAACCTCGTTATCAGATATGATCCTTCAGCTACAGTATGTAGCTTTATTCAATCCCGTGGTCGTGCTCGCATGCAAAGTTCAGACTTCTTAATAATGGTCAAAAGGTTATGTTTCCTTTTGTTTTTCATTTGGTTAATATTCGAATAACCTGGTTGCATTTCTTTCTAATGTTTATTTCAAATCACCCCACCTATTCCAAACAAAGGAGTTCAATGCATTTTGAAACTGGTTATTTGTTGTCCTCTTCACGGCTTCACCATTTGGTTAATGTTTCCCTTATCTTTGGCCGCGTGTTACAGCTTCATGACAGCTATTGATTAGCTAAGTAGAAAAATTACCCTTTTTTCTGGCACTATACTTCTGCTTAATGTTGTTGTAGATGTTACATTTTTAGTTATGGTTGTATAATCGATCTATTTTGGTGGCTGATAAACTTCTTAAACTTCAAACTTTATTCTTTCATTTATATTATTTTCTTATCAATTTACAGTGGGGACACATCCACACTTAATCGTATTTGCAATTATGTCTGTTGTGGAACCATGATGCGGGAAGAGAGCCTGATCCATGCACTTGTTCCCTGTACACCACTCAACTGTGAAATGGATGAGGAGCATTATTATAAAGTTCAAAGTACAGGGGCATGTGTTAACCTGGCTTCCAGTATACAACTTCTCCACTTCTACTGCTCCCGGCTTCCCTGTGATGGGTTTGCTCCTGATCTATTCTCATTTTTAGTCAATCAAATTATTCTTAGTGCTTTCAAATTAGTGAACTTCATTTGGCTTCTTTATTTGAATCGTGATATTAGTATCTTTGTTCAATTTCATTTTCATTATAGGTACTTTAAATCCTACCCAAGATATGTGATAGATAAACAATCAGAGACCTGTACACTCCATCTACCCAGAAGCTGTCCGTTGAAAAGTTCCAGTGTTGAGGGTGATAGTAAAGATTTGAAGCAATTGGCATCTTTAAAGGCATGTGAACAGCTTCACAAGATTGGAGAGTTAACTGATAATCTTGTTCCAAATGTCGTTGCGGAAGAAAAAGAGGCGGGAGAATTACGAAGTTAGTTTTTTATTTTATTTTTTCCCTTCTCTCTCTCTCTCTCTCTCTCTCTCTCTCTTCTGTTCCGTTTCTGTAGCTGTCCTCAGAAAACAATTGGTTTTCTGCTCAGGATATTTTTGCTCCTTTTCACGGTCTATTGCGCACGCACACATACACATATTTTGGGTTGTTTTTCTTTTTTTTTTTTGGGTTTCTAATTGCATATCTTTTATTGCCAAGGTTATGAAGCTAAAGATGACGAGCAAATGCGTTTTGTCCCACCCGAATTGGTTGGGATTGGGGGAAATATTTCTGAAGCAGAGTACTTCTGCTACTTGATTGAACTACTTCCAGAGTTTGATTATGATATTCAGCCTCATGATATCATTCTTGCCGTGAAGACAAGGCTTGAATGCGATGAAGAGACTTTAAAATTTGATGTGGATGTTGACAAGGGTAGGCTTGTAGTACAAATGAGATTTGTTGGATCCATCATATTGGAATCAAAAGAGGTAAATACTAGTAGCTATTCCTAAACTGTGTTTGCCTTAAATATAACTAAAGCTGATCATTTATATGTTCTTTTCGATGAACATATCTTTCTAGGTTTTCCTTTGTCAGCAATTTCAAGTGGCAGTTTTAAGGCTTCTTCTTGATCGCAATCTGAAGAAGCTATGTGAAGCATTAGACAGCTTACATCAGAACAAGGAATCTGTTTTCTTTGATTATCTTCTTCTCCCTGTTACTGGGACACAACAACATCGTTCAATCAATTGGGAGTACATAAAGTCAGTGCAACTTCATCATGAAGAAATTTCAAATCAGCATTTGGACAGCTGTGTTGCGAAAGGTCTCGGTCATTTTGTGAACACAATAAATGGTTTGGTTTGCCGTTGTATTCTGGAGACTTGTTTGGTCTGCACACCTCACAATGGTTTCTTGTACTGCATCACTGGCACTCTCGACAATTTAAACGGCAACTCGATGCTGGAGTTGAGAACTGGAGGATCTATTTCTTACACTTCCTATTTCAGAAAGAAGTATCTATCTCATTTTTCTTATTCTTGATTTCTTGGAAGAACTTGGATCATTATACTCTCTATGCTCCCCCCCATGATAGTGGGTGCCATGTTTTCTCTGGATGGTTAATGTCATTGAATTCTGAATACAATCTACTTACAGGCATGGCATCAACCTGCGTTTTGTGGGGGAGTCCTTACTCCATGGAAGACGCATTTTTACTGTACAAAATTATGTACACAGAAGTAAAAGTCAGAAGTCTAAAGGTTGGTTGAGTGGTGATATTGCCATTGTCAAAATAGTTCTTTTTAAAGTTTTATGAAATATGTCACTCTGACCTGTGTCGGACTAATTCTAATGGTTTTCTTTCTGTTTTTTTTTCCCCTTGGTCTTGGTGAAAGCTTACCTATGGGTAGCAGACAGTTAACAACCTGCTTGAGTGCAATTCCTAGCCTGATAAATTTGAGACTATGCTTCTTTTTGTGATTTAGCTGCTACTTGTTGAGGAGACCTTTGCATGAAAAATGTAGTAACCTTAGTGTTTTCCCTATTCCGTTAGCTACTCTTAACCGTCAATTTGTAAATCTCGTTGCCTGATGTTGGAGTGTATGTTGTTTATGTTATCAACTTTGACCTTTGTTTATTAGTGATTTTATTTAGGAGCAATCACATGTACTATAATCTGCTTTCAACTTAATATTAAACTTAAGTTCTGTTTTACACATACACACAACATATAACTTTTTCTTACCTTGTATTATATTTTTATATCCTACTAGTAATGTAAGTACTGAATTGTATGCCGCCTGGTCCCGGCCGCCCTCAGACCAAGTGATGTTGGTATTCTTATTAAGCAGTAACCTTATAGTCGTCAACTGTTTCAAAGAATATAGGTGAAATTAGAAACTAATGTTTTTCAAATGTCATACTATCTTTGGGGGTGAGTTGTATTTTGAAAAAAGTTATTATTTCTGTTAGGCGCATAAGGAATCAATTTCCCTGAGTTTTCCCTTTGTTATTTCTGTTCTAAAGTTATCTTGTAGATTGTGTAAGTGACCATTTTTTTCTGTTTTCTGATTGGTGATTCTCTTTTTTCTTTCGCTCTCTAATCCCTGATAGAAGCAAGTAAACATTCAGTTGAGTTGCCTCCAGAACTTTGTTCTGTGATAATGGCGCCCGTCTCAGCTGCTTCATTATATTCCTTCTCACATGCTCCGTTGATAATGCATCGCATTGAGTCCTTCCTGATAGCTGCCAATCTAAAAAGATTTCATGTGGACCAGTACACAAAGAATGCTGTGATTCCTACCTTGAAGGTATGTTGCTCGGTTCTTTATATGACTTGACTGGAGCTTATCGATGACCAACAGTTTAATGCATCCAGTAAATATGACTTAAAGTAGTTTTGTCTTTTATTGCTGCAAAGCTCCTGTCTTTTATTGCTGCAAAGCTAATGATGTAATTGAGTGATGCTGATGCTTATGCCGTCTTACATTCTAGGTTTTGGAGGCAATCACTACTAAGAAATGCCTAGAGAAATTTCATCTAGAGTCATTAGAAACCCTTGGTGACTCATTTCTAAAATATGCTATTAGTCAGCAACTATTCAAGACACTTCGAATTCACCACGAGGGTCTTCTTAGTATCAAGAGAGAGAAAATCATCAGCAATGCTTCGCTATGCAAGCTTGGTTGTGACCAGAAAATTTCAGTAAGGACTTCTACTTGTATTGTTGTTGTCAGTTCATGTTATGTGCTTCCTTAGTTGTTGAATAGATATTTTGTTTCAACTTGTTTTGCAAAAAAAGTTATTTGATACCTCAACTTGAACTTGGAATTTCTAATTTACATTTCTACCTTGAATCTAGCTGGCGACATTGTGCAACATTTTTGTGACTTTGTGTTAGTTGCTATTGGTAATCTTAATCTGATTACCTTCTGCTTATTTCTTCTTCCAAACTCTAGGGTTTTATTCGCAATGAACCATTTGATCCCAAATTATGGATCATACCTGGTGATAGCTCCGGAAGTTGCAAACTAGAGAAGGAAATGCTATCAGCGAAAAGAATGGTTTACGTACAACAGAAAAGGTCGATGAAAAACAAGAGGGTGGCTGATGCAGTTGAGGCCCTTATAGGTGCATTCCTCAGCACTGGTGGTGAAACCGCAGCATTGCTATTTATGAAATGGCTTGGAATTGAAGTCGACTTCAGTTATGTTCCTTATTCAATGCCCCTCCAAGTAAGTCCAGAGAAGTTAGTCAACGTGCATCATCTGGAGGCCCTGTTGAACTACAAATTCCGGGATGCTTCCCTCCTTGTTGAAGCACTTACTCATGGTTCATACATGCTCCCTGAAATTCCAAGATGCTATCAGGTAGAATAAGAGGCATTACTATTCTCTGACTTACTTATCGTTTTTTATATTTTTGCAAGAATATGTAACATGATCCCTGTTTTGTCGTTGTTCCAACTGGCTGTCTTGGATTCTGATTTTGGTGCTACTCAGCGTCTTGAATTTCTTGGGGATGCTGTGTTGGATTATCTCATCACCACGCACCTATATTTCAAACACCCAGCATTGTCTCCTGGACTCTTAACCGATCTAAGGTCTGCATCCGTGAACAATGATTGCTATTCGCAGTCCGCGATCAAGGCTGGACTACACAAGCACATTCTACATGCTTCCCATGAGCTTCATCGGCACATTGCCAATGCTGTTCACGAAGTTGAGCAATCAAGTTTGGTCTCAACATTTGGTTGGGACTCAGAGACAATGTTCCCTAAGGTAACTTTAGCTGTGTGCTAATGGCTGAAAAATGAGAGGGTCTGTGTTGGGTTTCATATTGTATTGAGAATATTGACAGATTCAATGACCGTATTAATTGGCAGGTTCTTGGGGATGTAATCGAGTCTCTTGCCGGAGCAATACTCGTTGATTCGGAATATAACAAAGAGATTCTGTTCCAAAGCATAAAGCCTCTTCTTGAGCCTATGATAACTCCTGAGATGTTGAAGACCCATCCAGTGAGAGAATTGGATGAGTTATGCAACAAGGAGCGTTACGCAATGAAGAAGCCTGTGCCTGTACGCTACGAAAATGGCAACGCATTAGTCACTGTAGAGGTAGAAGCGAATGGCATCACTCATGATGTTTCAGCCTCTGCATCAGACAAGAAAACAGCCAAAAGATTGGCGTGCAAAGAGATGTTAAAACTTCTCAAGGAATGGAATGGCAATTCATCCTAATAATAGTAATTATACGCAGAAGGAGATGAGGTTGTGCTTTAAGAGGTAGCAAATCAAAGGTGGCCAAATGACGAGTAGCCAACTTTAATAAGTTCTCTGTACATAAACTCTCGTCTTGTAAAGTTTCTAAAGCAATGTTGCTCTAAATAATACTCTCTCTGTCTCAAAAATAAAAATAAAGAGGTCTAATTTCCGTTCTCATAGTTTCGAAGCTATATATCTCAGCTTGATTTAATGAAGTTGGCTATTGTCATACTGTAACGGAGATGCATAATGTAAGAGCAAATTAGTAGCTCTACATAATCCTTAACTGATTTTGAAAAGACGGTCTCTTGTTCAAAACAGTTCAGGCGGCGGGTACAGTAGTACCCGCGGAAACTCAGGAAACCGAATGAGAAGGAAATTCATAAGAACGTCCCCGGTGGTTTTCTGAAACTACATGATAGCCCTCCAATGCAAACAAATATCCAAAAATCTCCCTAATGATTTTAACCCGGAAAAAGAGAAGAAAAATTCTTCTATTTCGAAGTTTTCAACGAGGATTTTCAACCTCACAAAGAAAATTCTTGTATTTCAACCTATCAATATTTTCTCTTTAATGCAATTGGTCTCAATATATGCAACTCCAGATGCCTCCTATAGCCAGATCGAGAGTCAATAGCACTATAAAATTTTGAGAAATGGGACATACATCCTTATTTGAAGAATAAGAACGGCTAATTTCAAAAAAAATAAATAAATAAGAATGAATTGATTATATAATCATGAATTAATAAACTTATAAAGTAACTTTATCGACTTTAATATTTTTTTTTTATTCAAAGCACAACCCTACCTCTTACACACTTTCATCCTCAAATTTTGCTTTTCATAAAGGGAGGAGCATATAGTTTTGTTTGTGGAAGACTGGAAGCTGTTGGCAAATGGATCCAACCACACAGGAAACGAATTTCAATTTTAAATTTCACAACTTTGTAGACAATTTTGTTAAACTTTTTAAGTAAAAGAAAAAAAAATACTTGAAGATGACTGGTGATATGTTTCATACCGTTCTTAATACTTACCATAATTTGATTGGGAAATTTTATTATTCGGAATGGTCAAAAGAAAAAAAAATTGTTAATATCTCTTCCAATGAATTAAGAGGTGCTTAAATATCAATATAAAATGTAGATTAAGAAAAAGAGCTTATTGATCATTTTTAATTTACTTTACAAATTCACCAATATTGTTATTAAAAACTAAAAATTAACTTCGATCCACTAAATTCGAAATCCACATAGTTTTACGAGTTTTGTATGCACTAGTCCAATGTTTTTTTTAAGAGTGAACCTCAAAACAAGTCATCAACCTTAATGTATTTTCACTCTAGGTCATCAATCAAATTTATTTGTATCACAGGTTATCCTACTAAACTTTTAATCCATTTCAAATTATTCTGTTAAATTTAGCCGTGAAATCGTAACGGAACCTCAATTTTCACAGCTGCACGTGATTTCGGTCAAAGGGCAATTAGTCTTTTTATACTTTTCGCCACTGTTTTCTGGGCGGGATGAAGTCCTTGTTTTCCCTCCACTTTGAGCATAATATATATGGCAGCCAAAACTAGATCTGAGACCTCATTTTTTTTTTTTCTACTCATCATCTTTAAATTCATATACTATATTTAACTTTGAAAATGGAAGAACCCATTCCCCCATTTTGCTGGTGCGACAACAACAAGAGGTCCAAAATCATCACTTCGTGGACAGACGACAATCCAGGAAGAAGATTCGCGAGATGTGTGGATAAGGTAATGTAGATTATAGTCTAAATATTTAATTTAATAGCAAATTCTGGATTTGTTAAATTGAAAAATATTGATTATGATTAAGTTTATGCAAACAAAATTGTAGGAACATGGTTGTCATTTTTGGGTTTGGATCGATCCACCTATGTGTGAAAGGTCAACCGAAGTGATTCCTAAACTTTTGGGGAAAATTAATCAATTGAGGAAACGCTTGAATCTGTTACGGGGTGAAAATGAAGAAGATATGATAGGACGACTCAAAGAGGAAAATGTTCGAATGAAAATTGAGATTGCAAATCTTAGAAATCAGTTGAACATGTACAAGTTCTTGTTTGTGATATTGGTGTTATACGCTGTGATTTGTTGGGCTACTGGTGGAGGTGGCAACCAGCTTGAAATTGATGGAGGTATTTGAAATGTGTAGCTTGATTAGGTTCAAGTATAGTAGATGATATGTTAAATCATGTACTAATTTGAAGGTAATAACTATGTAATCTTTTGTTGTTCCTTTTGTTTCTTCAATCTAAGTTCCAATCTTCCAATGATCCGCGTTTCTCTCTTTTTTATTTTTTTTCCTTATGAAGGTAAAGGTGATAACCATGTAATTAATAACACCCATTTAGATTTTATGATAGACTTAAAAGAAAATGAGTCATTTTTACCATGTCATAACAAATAGTAAATTTCATTAAAGCGGAGTGGTAGAGCAAATCATTAAATAGAAATTACCATGTCAATTCATTAAATGATATTTTTACAGCTACATTCACCAATTCTAGGAAAATGCCATAGTTTGATACCAAAATTAGTTGGAACTACCATGGGCAATAACAAAATGAAGCAGTATCTATCCTATCCAGGAAAATGACAAAATGACATGGTTTGGAAGTTCCAAAAGTACAAAATGACATGGTTTAAATGGAACAAGCTTAGCATTCAAAGGGGTCGACTCATGCATAGTTGTCTCTTTTTCCAACTCGAGTGGCTGTGTGTCTGGCCCATCTTCCAACCTTGTAAGGTGGATGGTCACCCAAGTACTCTGCATTTTCATTGACCATAACTTTGTCTAGGTAAGATAATTTCCTTTTCTTTGAATGAGCTCCATTAACAGGTTGGGCTCCAGCTTGAACAGGTTCCGGGACTTCAGATGAAGGTCTTTCATTTGATGGAATTGGTGGTTCAGTGGAAAGTCGTTCTCTAACCCTTGTACTTCTTCTCACCTGATTTCGAATCTACACATGTGTGAGTCACATATACTTAAGGTTTGGTGGGCTTTCATGAGTTAAAAATAAAGCTTGGTTTACCATTACCTGAGGTTGAGGATTATCATTTGGGGCAATGTCACTGTTAGGATTTTGAGAACCACTTGAAGCACCCTAAAAGGAAAAAATAAAATAAAACATAGGTGCTGTAGTAGTATAAAATTTAGCAATTCTGTTGGATTAGTGTTTTACCTTTTTTCGCTTTCTTCTATCGGATTCATTAGGGTTTTATCCATCAAGTCTGGACTGTTGCATTGTATCCTGATAGTCAGAGGCCAACTAGATCAGAGAAACACTATTGCAGCATACATCATTACACATTTAGCAATTTGAAGGAAAATAACAAATCAGCAAACCTGGTGGGGAAATTCTTCAGTAGTGGGAGCTTGTGTAGAATTGCTAGTCTGAGCATGTTGTTTCCTTTTTGACTGAAAATGGCAAGAGCAATTAAATCATTAAATCCAGTGACAAACAGTTATACAAAAATATTATTACTCTTTAAATTTACTTATAATATTTGCCAAACCTGTTTCGGAACTTGTGGAGTAGTGGCAGGTTCCACAGGGTCATTTTGACATATTCTGACATTGTGCCCTTGTTGTTGACATCTACCACATGTGATTTGCATGTGTTTTTGCAATCTTTGTGTTCCATCCTCGAAAATTCTAACTGCTAGTTCTTCTGTCTTATTTCTCCTTGGTCTACCACGTTGGCGTTTTGTTCTTGGAGGTTCAAGCTGAAACATTTCTGACTTGGGCCACATATCCATTCCATTGATTGGATACAATACATTCTTGTACAAGCTGACCATATCTTCCTTTTTGTAGCAATCATCAACGAAGTCTGTGATGTTCCTTTTCTTTCTAACAATGCATGGTATTGCATGGACACATGGAATGCCTCTCAACTGCCGCAGTCTACAGCTACAAGCTCTTCTATCCAAGTTCACAACAAATTGGCCAGTTGGTCCTTTGACTTGAAATGCACCTGCCCCATTTGATAGTGCCTTCCATGGCCTGACCAGTTTAACCGTTTCATCTATGATTTCCTTGATCAGAGGGGGTACAGCAAATGGATAGGACTCAATCCATTCACCCCTTTTTTGTATCCTTGTGTACTGTAGCAGTTTCACCTCTTCCAACATGCATAAGATGGCCAGTTCTCTAGCTTCTACCAGCTTAGCATTCAAAGTTTCACACATATTAATAACTAGAGTGTCACATCTTGTGTGGGTAGACCAGAATGCTTTTACCCAACTCCTTTTAGGGGCAACCTGTTCTAAGTGCTTGTAAGCCTGAAAGTCGTATGCTTTGAGCGCCTGCATTTTCTGGTCATACATCTCCTCTGTTGTACTTGAAGCTATACCCCACAAAAACTCTTTTAGTGTTTCCCCTGGGTGCATTCTCTTATAGTTGTTGCGTATGTGTTGCACACAATACCTATGCTCACATCCGGGAAACACATCTGCTACAGCAATTCCAAGACCCTGCTCAAAACCAAAAACCATGTAAAACATTCATTACAGGTCATCAAAGAAGAAAAAACTCCATTACAAGTTATCAAAGAGATAAAAAACCCCATTACAAGTTATCAAAGAAATAAAAAACTCCATTACAAGTCATCAAAGAAATCAAAAAATCCATTACAGATCATCATGCGTAAACAAAAACTTTAGGAAAGGATTTTCACCTTTTGTTGGTCAGACATAAAGGTGTAGAAAGTTGCACCCTCAGCATTCAAGTCATTCTTAAGTAGCTCCAGAAACCACATCCACTGATCTTTCGCCTCAGCTTCACAAACAGCCCAAGCAATGGGCCACCATCCATTGTTGTGGTCGGTTCCTACGGCTGTGAATAGCTGTCCTTTATAGCTACCCCTTAAGAAGCATGCATCTAAACATATGATGGGCCTGCAGTGGTTCTTGAAACCCCTTTTTAATGGTCCCAAACAGCAATAAATTCTCATAAATCTAGGGTTTTTTCCAGGTTCCCTGAAATGCTCATAATGTATTTCAACTGTGCTATCAGGGTGTGTCCGAAGTAGTTCCTCTTTATAGTCATATAGCCTCTTATACTGATCAGCCGTCTTCCCATAAATTCCTTCAAGGGCAATTGTTCTGGCCCTATATGCCTTTGTTCTGGTTATCTCAGATGTAAAATCCTCATCCACACATTACCTTATATCTTTCACTGGGATTTTGGGATCAGCTTTGATCTTCTCCGTATACCTATTTGCAAACCATTTTGCTCTAATCTTCCGATTCTCCCAATCCAGTTCACACTCAGTGATGTGAACATCCTTCATAACACCAACACATAGTCATGAGGGTTAAAGGCCTTTATGATTCTTGCATACACAAATCATGTGCACGGCTCTTTGCACTTGATTCTACATCTCAGTCCGTCATTGGTATACATGTAAATCGGCCTTCCAGTTAGAACTGCATAGTCACCAAAAAGCTGCCAAACCTTTTTTTGGTCTCCAAGATTTTCACCAGGTTTCCAATTCGGCAGTGATGTCATTTTCTTAGATGTAGGGTACTTAACCTGTTTTCCATTGCATTCATCATTAGAAGCTGGGTTGTCATGTAGCCCCACATTTACATTATCTTCTCTCATGTCATTTGGTTTTGGATGTTTAGGACATTGGCGTACATAATTTGCTCTGATGTTTTTGGTGCCTGCAGTTTTTCCCGACATCTCACCATTTGCACTGTCAGATTTGATGGGTTGACTATGGCTCCCACCAGCTTCATCATCATTACTAGCAGCTTCATCATGGTTAACAAACTCTTCAGTTGGTGGATTAGAGGAAGTTCCACCAACTGTATTGCCTATCACACGATCTCCATTATCTGCATAAACTTCTTCTGAATCAAGGTCTACTCCACTTGTAGCACACTGATGATCATCTCCAACATGTCTATCCATGTCAACGTCACTTGGTTGCATAAGTGTCTGCAGGTATTCAGAGAATAATATATCAGCTCTACACAAATGTCTCATCAATTTCATAGGATCAACTTCTGTTTCATCAAAGTCATCCAATAGGACATTGTCTGGTAAGATGTATTCATCAAGTGAAGGCTCCACATATGCAGCAGGTACATATCCATCAAGTGGAGGTTCGTTCTCAGATTCTCCACCGTTACTTGGAAAAACAGCAACATCTTCAGACCCTACAGCATCTGATGGGTTAACAGCAGCAACATCTTCAGACCCTACAGCATCAGTGTCAACAACATCATCACTGTCCAATCCTGCAGTATCAGTATTAATAGCATCATCATCTTTCAACCTTGTAGTATCAGTATTAACATCATCATCATCTTTCAACCTTGCAGTATCAATATTAATAGCATCATCATCTTCCAACCCTGCAACATCATTATAAACAACAGCAACATCTTCAATCCCTGCAGAATCATTTTGAACAGCAATAATATCTTCAATCCCTGCAGAATCATTCTGAACAGCAATAATATCTTTAATCCCTGCAGAATCATTCTGAACAGCAGCAATACTTTTAATACTAGTAGCATCCACAGAAATTTCACCGGGATCATTAGTACCTCGCTAACCTCTTCAGTCACTGGAGCAGTAACAGAAGTTTCAGCATGCTCAACTGAAGTCTCCCTGACCTTTTCAGCCTCTGGAGGCTCAACAAAAGTTTGAAGAACCGCAGCCTCTACAAGAGAGTCGTTAACATTCTCCTCAACAGTACAATCATCACCCTCGCTTACATTCTCCTCCACTGCACCTCCACCAACTACCGACTCATCATCACCATTTGCAGCAACAACAGTATCTCTGTCTTTCTTAAAAGGCAACTCAAGGAAATCTAGGAACTCCTTATCTTCAATACTGTCATCACTGTCTTTCCAACATATCAACTGTAGAGCCGATTGCGTGTTTTGTCTCCGAGATTTTGGGGTAACATGTTTTGCGGTAAAATGTCTCTCCTCACCAATCTCTTCAATCACAACTGATGATTGTTTCTTGATATACACCTTATCTGCTTTCACAAAACCATATTCTTCTTTCATAAATTCATCAAACATTTTCTCTTCGTCCCGGATCAACTTCTCTTTTGCATCAGCTTCTGTCATGTGGCAAACATACACATCTATCATCCTTTGACCTCCCAAAACCTTCAAAAATTCCTTCATATGAGCATTTTCCGTTAATTCATACAGCGTACTACTCAAATCCTTCAAAGGTTCCACATAGTAGAAGGCACATATGGTCTCCCTAGAGTACAACCTCACCATAATTGCACTTAATTCATGCAAATTAAATTCTTCTCGATGACAAAAGTCAATATGTGCAACCTTCCCAAAAACGTATTTGCCATCAGAGAATTTGCCGCCATGATGGAGTCTTATTGTGAAATATATGAGATTATGGCTTGAAAAAATACAAAATAAAATTTACTATAATTAGATTTTCTATTATTTTTCAACAAACATGTTCATATTCTATCATAAACAGACAAAATGAAAAGGGTCAAGTAGGACACATGTTTCGCAAAAGTCAGACAGGAAAGGGATCTTTCGTGCTTCAAACAAACTAAAGCTCTATTCTTTGAAGTCTTTTAACATATAATTCAAACTTAAAAATTGAACTTTTACACTCGCTACTATCTTTGGTCCCCGCCTACCCAAACAGTTGACCCCAAAAACGAATTTAAAATTTACAATCGACAATTTCCATATATACTACCTGAAACATTAAACCCAAACAATATTATAAAAGGATTCAAAATCTAGAAGACATACCATAATCCGAGAATGGATCAAAATCATTCCCTTCTTTCCGAATCTCCCAATCATCATGTAGGACAATCGGAATGGGAACGGAGCTCTCTCTAATTTTCCGTCCTTGAGTCTTCTTTCTCGGTGTTGTCTTTGCTCTGGGTGGCATCCTATTGACGCTAATTTAGATTTTCAAACAACATCAACTAGAGCTTCTATGAACTAGGGTTTCTATGAACTAAGGTTTTCCAGAAGGAGCTTTTTCATCGGGTTTTGATTTTTGAATGGGTTAAGCCACCGAGAAGAAAACTTTTCGTTTGTCTGGGAAAACACACAATATTAATAAAGTAAATTGAACTTGTGTCTTGGAATCCGAAAAGTAGAAAAAGACTAAATTGCCATTTGATCGAAATCACGTGCAACGCATGTGAAAATTGAGGTTCCGTTACGATTTCATAGCTAAATTTAACAGAATAACCTGAAATGGATTAAAAGTTTAGTAGGATAACCTGTGATACAAATAAATTTGATTGATGACATAGAGTGAAAATACATTAAAGGTTGATGACCTGTTTTGAGGTTTACTTTTTTTTTTAAATATAAAAATACTCTCTCATTCTAACATAATTATCTTACTTGTTGTACTAGTTATTACAACTACTCGAACAAGCATTTTGAGTCTGAGAAATTCTTAAATTTGTTATGTGAGCCATAGATTTGGGCACAAGAGTATCATTATCGAGACCTAAGGGAATATCCCATCATTTCTTCAAAGACTGAGGGAGGCCATTATAATTAAACCAGAATTAAAGGTAAGGAAATGGTTTACACATGACCGGTCGGACCGGTTGAACCTGGTGAATTTTTTTTTTTGAAAAGTAACCTGGTGATTTTGATAAACAAAACATCTTTGCTTATTATTATCCTGAAGCTGCCATTTCCTCCCTTCTCTTCTTAATGCGCCATGGCTGGTTCACTAGTTCAGAGCTCCATGGCTCACCCAATTGCCTTTTCAGTTGCTCCATTCAGTAGCAATCCAAACACTCTCCAGTTGGAGGCAAGATTGCCGCTAAAATACTCACTCTTGTTTTGCCAACCAAAGCCTCTCTCTTCTTTGACTACTTCACCCTTTGCCTCTGGTTTCCCTTCTATCCCTTTATCCTCCGGTGAGTTCGGAGTGAATCTGATGTTTTGTTGCTGCTGTATAAAGTTCCAGTCTTGTTTTGTGTTTCTGTAGTTTACTCTTCCAGTTTCAGAAAAATGTGGGGAAGCTCTTTTTGTCTTTTTAATGTTCTGGACCTTTGTAATGTTTGTTGTTCTGCAACTTGTTGTGTCAAATTTTTTGGGGCTTCTTCTGTTTTCTAACAAGGGACTAACTAATGTTAGCTTATAACATGGACCAGTTTCTTTTTCCCATTTTCTGGTTCTGTTTCATGGAGAAACCCGTTTGATTATATTTTTTGATTTTTTTTTTTGGTTGTTTAGAATTTGTTCTTGGTATTCTTATGGTTGATTTTTTGACGATTCTTTGATCCAACGGTAGGTGGGAAAACCTTGTTTGCAGCACCCGAAGTTGGATTAAGTTCTGAAACAAATGAATGGGCAGCACAAGGTGAGCCTCCTGTTACAAGTTTCTTAACACATTTAACTCTGTGATAATTGGCGAACTCTATGAAAATGGCGTTTTTTTAAAAAAATTTAATTTAGATAGTGAATCATTTGTTAATGTTAAATTGTGAATTGTGTAGTGAACCCTTCTTTGGACATTAGGTTTTCTCGTGTTCATCACTTTTAGGATTCTTCTAGGTTGCAATAGTTTAAAGCAAAAAAAAAAAAAAAAAAAGAGATTGCTTACTTTACAAAGTTAGATGCAGCTCCGTTGTGATGTTGATGCAACCCTGTCAAATGAAGGTCTCCATTGTCCAACTCCGTATGGAATCTTGCTATAACTGAGCTAGGATTCTTCTAGCTCTCCATTGTCCGACTCCGTTTGGAATCTTGCTATAGCTGAGATTAGCTCGTATTCGACGATTAGTGATTCTGGGGACTAGTACTATCTGAACTCTTTCCAATGACTGAGTTTGGGAAACTGTGGAATAGTTAGTATTGTGTGTTCTGCATACCAGGTTCAAATTTGTTATATCAACAAGCATTGCAGATAATCCCTGATGTTATTACATTACAGTAACCATCTCAGGTTGTCGAATCGTGGTTCTGAAATCATAAGAGCCAACATTAATTCGGGTTCCTGAAATGTCCATTCATTTTATACCATTTGGATATTGTGTTACTATTTACTATTGCATCTTTTCTTATGAACCTTATCACATGTTTTCAAGGGTTTGAACCATCTTAATAAGTTTTAGCACTGTTAGCAGATTTCTATACTCTGAGGAAGGACGTCGAGATTGCCTCACACCGTGTGGAAGAAATCAGGGCTTCTGCTGGTTTAAAGCAGCTAGAAGAAGACCTCAATCAGTTGGAGAAAGCTGCTGCGGATAGCTCTCTCTGGGATGATCGTGCTAATGCTCAGCAAACACTGCAGGCACTGACTGATGTCCGGGAAAAAATTAAGCTTCTTGATGATTTTAAAGCAAGGGTTGGACTTCTACCTAGCATCATCGTTGGAATTGTTGCTTCATATTTTTTGTTTCAATCATGTTGTTAATGCTTGTTGTCATTTGCCTTAATTTGTCATTAAGCCTTTTATAGCCAAACCTTTCCACCTACCACCGAAGAATTTGAAAGCATTTAGATCTGCCAGAAACTGTGTTCTAGCAAAGAGGACCCTTCAAAACGGACAAAAGGGAAGGAGATTTTCAGGGACAAAAGGCAAGGAAGTTGAATCATGATTGGATAATTATTTGAAGAGTGTACACCCCGGGAATGATTAATATATGAGAAACTCTTGTTCCCGCTTCCCAGACAGGAGTCTAAACATGCATGGGGTGTCTTGTCATTGAAAGTCACTGCTCAGTCTTCTTGATCTGCAGAAATTGACGAGATAACATTTTCTCAATAACTGAAATTAAGAAAGGGCTGCTTTGGATTTCTTGCTCATCAAAGTCTAATTCAACTGTTAGAGGTCTAATGCTTATTAGTGTTTATATGGTTGTGAGGATGATGAATACCAGTCCTTCCTCTTAACAACTGCTGTCCATTAATGAGGATGAATGGACCTTAACTCGTGATGAAAATAACAATATCTGTCATCAGTTGACATGGACAAATGGAACTTGACTGGTATTAGATATAACAACTCATTTGCACAGTTTTGTGCAGATTGAGGATGCGGACACCATAGTAAAGCTGACGGAGGAGATGGATTCAATTGATATTGGCCTTCTTCAGGAGGCTGCTGGCATTATTCGAGACCTGAATAAGGCACTGGATCGTTTTGAGTTGACGCAACTACTCTCTGGCCCTTATGATAAAGAAGGTGCTGTAATCAACATTACTGCTGGCGCAGGGGGTACTGATGCCCAGGTAATCCTACTTTAAACGCTTCATCAGACTTCAACCAAATTCCATTAAATTCATTCCTTAAGGTTGGCCATGGATTTGTTATGGAACTAGTTTGATAATTTGATTTACCAAATGTTATGGAAAACTGTTATAAATAAAGCCAATGTGAATGTATCTGGATGAATAAGTTTGTATAAGTGGACCTGGAAATATTGTGAAAGTAACAACTGTACAGTTTTTAGATGGAGAAGAATTTATAAATATTTATCCATGAAATTTCTCATCATTTTGTGGTTAGCTTATAATGCGTTAGATAATTACATGTAACCAAATGTTACCAGTGCAAGTAATGTACTGTTTGCAGAGTCATGGTCGTATTTACATCATTTAAACTTGGGTTGCAGGAGTTTTAAATGAGTCAGCGTGGTGCCTTTAACACTGTGAACATTACTCTTCCAAATTATTCGAAAATTTTAATCACAGATTAACTGCAATTTCATTTGTTCTCCTTTTTCCTTGATTCTTAACTTGTGCCGTTTAGACCACCTTCGTCTCTCTCATCTTGTTATGTTCTATATGGTCGTATTTTGTTCATGCATTGTTTTCTCGAGGCTAGAGACTCCTTGGATAATTCGTCTATCAGCAAAACCTTTTTTTTTTGCTTTGAAGTAAAACTCTTTGATAAATGCCAGTGCAGGATTGGGCTGATATGCTTCTAAGGATGTACACAAGATGGGCAGAGAAGCAGAAGTATAAAATCAAAGTGGTTGAGAAATCCTTGGGGGAGGAAGCTGGGATAAAGTCAGCTACAATTGAAGTTGAAGGCCGATATGCTTATGGGTATTTATCTGGGGAAAAGGGGACTCACCGCATAGTGCGACAATCACCTTTTAATGCCAAAGGCCTTCGCCAGGTAACCTTGTTGAAAACTTCGGCTGCATTGCTCTTTCTCTTATCTTCATTTCAAGTAATATGGTTTATTTAAATGTGTTAGTTATTGATTTGTGCAGACAAGCTTCTCAGGTGTTGAGGTCATGCCACTTATTCCCGAGGAGTCGCTGGATGTTGAAATACCAGAAGAAGATTTGGAAATTACGTTTACCAGGGCTGGTGGGAAAGGAGGCCAAAACGTAAACAAAGTTGAAACTGCAGTTCGCATTACCCATATCCCCACTGGGGTGGCTGTTCGGTGCACAGGTTTGCCCGTGTCTTCCTTTTTCTATGGTTGAGTAAAAAAGAAGGTTTGGATGGTTTTGCTAGTCGGTCATTAAAGTTTTCATTTACTTCATTAACTTTAATCTTCTTGAGTTTGGCCTTTTCTGTTTGGCATTGTTGCTAGCAACATCTTTGCAGTAACATAGTTGTAATTTCAGGTCATGCTTCAATCATCATCTGATTATTTTTAGTTACAGTTTAAGGGATCAGCATTTGTGCATAACAGATCAAAAGGTTTTCCACATTGTAAAGTTTAGGGTTAGTTCGGTGAATACTGGCTTTCGATTTCTTTACTAGTAAATGGCGAAACGTCATCTTATTGCAGAAGAAAGGACCCAGTTAGCAAACAAGATCAAGGCTCTCATCCGATTGAAAGCTAAATTGTTAGTCATAGCTGAGGAACAAAGAGCGTCTGAGATCAAGCAAATTAGAGGGGATGCAGTGAAAGCTGAGTGGGGACAACAAATACGGAACTATGTATTTCATCCTTACAAGCTGGTGAAAGATGTTCGAACAGGATATGAAACCTCTGACATCATTTCTGTCATGGATGGAGAGTTGGATCCCTTCATTAAATCATACCTAAAATTTAAGTACAGTACATCCGTAGCAAGTAGTCAAGTACAGTAATGCACTTTAGAACCATTTTGATGTAATGTATAGCCCTCATCTCCTCGCTTTTCAATGAGAAGGCAGTGAGACTACGGGAAAGCAAGGAAATATTTAACCCTTTTTTGGTGAGAGTTGCAAAACCGAAGTAAGGCATTAATTGCCACATTTGTTAAACTAATTGTTTCGTTAAGCAGCTGAATTTTCAAGAAATATAACATTCATTTATTTGTGAATTTTCAAGAAATATAAAGGGTGAAGATCTGGGTTATTCTTGCTTTTACAGTCGTTTACTTTTTTGGATGAGGGCAATGGCACATTGATCAGTTGAGCATCAAATTCCCATTCTGATCAAAATATCCGGTGGTTGTACATTGTGTTGTGTGCCTAGTTATCCGCAAGTTCAATAACTTTACAACAAGAACCATGTATAGTATTATGAAGACAGCCGAAAATTTGACTACATCCAGAAGAATGTTAGAAATGGCGACCACGTTCCCTAAAATAACATAAATTACAGATCCAAACTGATATGGACACCTTGGGGAAAATATGTATGATCCACTTCAGGAAAGAAATGGAAGAAAATTCTGTTGAAGAGGCTGACATAATGTTGCAAGCTGCATATTAGCGCAGGGTTGTAAAAAGGATATCCAGCTTCAGGAAACAAAGCACAAACAGGTATATCAGGCAAAGGAAGGATGAGTACTGTCCATGATCATCGACCTTGCCAACCTTCAGAATTTGACCAACTCACTGTTCCTTCTTTTTCCCAAAGAGCAAACTCAATGAGTATGTATTCCCGTGCTTTGCAGCAACTTCTACCCGTCTTGCCCCAATCTACAGTCATAAAACCAAGAGAATCACGTTGGAGAAAGAAGAAAAGGCAAGAGAATGTGAGGTTGTGAGCACATCAAAAGGATGTGTAGACAGCATCTGTATCTCAACAATAAGGGAGATGTTTACTTCACATCAAACTATAGGGAGCGATGATTATATTGCAATTGAGAGAATCTAATTCTCAATTTTACCAATAAACAGAAGGCCCTAAAAACTGGGCCGTGTCTTGTAATGTTTATTCCGATTGGAGGCGTGAAATTAGTACGACTTAATGTAATGGGATAAGAAATTTTAAATCTGTATGATCTGTACCTAAACAGGTCCAGCAAAGGGCTTGAAATGTCTAAAACTAAGCAATGTTTAATTTTCTTTAGCAAATAGTTAAGTGAAGATTACAAGAAGCTGAACACTGTTGTAAACAAAAGTGAATAAAGGGTCAAACATTCATCAATTCAAGACTAAAGCTGTGAAACATTCCATATTGTGGATTAGATTATACCTTATCCATAACCCAAAGGCCAACAGAAGGCATATACTGCCCGAGATACATGACAGCAAGCACAGGCTGCAAGGAAAAACAACAATAAAGTTCAGGCCCCAAAATTTTGCACAAACAAACAAATAGGATATCAGCACATGTGATTAAGTGGATGAAAGAATCTTTTTGAGTTGCCTCTGCACTCCGAAGTCTTCATAAAATTCAAATTCTCAACAAATAATTGAGAAAAAGAAAAGTGAAAGTGATCCAAGAATTGATCCCTCACATCTTACTTTCACATTATCTTCATTCTTAAAACTATATATTGACGTGTCTAATGATATGACAAGAAGAAGGTTATAAACACGAGTAAGCGTCTTATGCTCAATGATCAGAATCAAGAATTTTAAACTTTTTACCAGTTTCCCTAAAACTGAATTGTGTAGCTCAAGAGGCCTTTTGGAGCGTTGGCACTATAATTTGAGAAATAAAGAAGTATATGGCAATAATTCATTAACCGAGCATGTATTGTCTAAACATCAGTAACCAAACAAGAGAAAGTACAAACTGGATTCTTAATTACATTGATATATTTTAAAAAATTGTTAAACTAAGAGAACCCTGGTCCATGCTTCTGGATTCCTTACTTGACATATAACGAATATTTCATTCACATTATAAACAGTTTCTTATGCCATCATGGGGAACTGTTATTTAGGAATGCTTGTCAACACATATTTCTGTTAAAATAAATGTAATTGATAGCAGGATTACCTGATATGATATCCAAGCTTCCTTTAAACCATGGCTTGCAGCAACAATAGTCAGCTCTGCGCACCTCTCTGATGACACTCGTCTCTGGAGATAAAGAGTGAAATTGAAATCTCATGAGATTCTTGTTCCAAATGAGTATTAGCCAAAGAAAGTGCCAACACATTCATATTCCCTATTACTAAAAAGGTTCAATTTAACCACAACCCAAATGGCTTGAAAAGTTGTGAAAGGAGCTAAATCTTAAAAGTATATACTTTCTCCTCCAAAAAGATAAATGCACAAAGTAAAATTAAACCCATAATTAAATTACTCAAAATTCATAAAGCTGAATAAACCCCATAATTAAATTCACAGTAATACGCTAATCCCATAATAATTAAAAGTTGTCACAGTAATACATGCTTTAGTGAGTATGGAAATGAGATTTTTGGACTGAACACAATTTCAACTCTTAAACCATAGAAAAATGGGATAATATAACATAGCAGTTTCTTCTAACAAGACAAAAGGATCAAAAGCAGTGGAAGTTAGGCTCTTGGACTATAAATAAGAGTTAACAAAGCAACTGATTGAAGTGTAATTCTAGGGCATGGTGATTAAGTGTACTCTAACGTCCTGAAAGTCTTCTCATATCATCACTTACCTCAGCAGCAACCCTTTCCGTTGAGGAGCTCATTTCAGGAGTGCTTGATGTTTTTATGGGCCCTGGACAGACAATAGTCACTTTGATTCCTTTTTGACAAAGCTGAAACCAGAGAACAAAAAGATGAGGAAATATAAACCCAAACCATGACACAAGGAGGACATAATATTTTAATAATAACAAACAAAAAGAACAATGACCATGTATGGAGTGGTGGTTCCAATGATAATAGTACGCTTTTTGAGCAAATAATAGAAGAGCAGTAGAATGGTTGACTGGTAAAACTGGAAAGATCACAAGTCACGCATAATGCACGACGAAACAAGCAAAGCCTAACACTTGATCACTTATCTATTCCCATAATAGTAAATTCTATCATATGCTCCCCCTAAATTCTACTTATAAAATATCTTTGAAATGCAGTATGATTTTTTGATATGCTGCCTAGATACAAGGAAAACTAAAAAACACAGTACTTCAAAGACTATCTCTTCTTAAAAATTACAGAAAATCCAAGATAGAGACATGGAATTCATGGTACAGAAAAGACGAGGTAGTTCTGCCGCATCACCACTGCAAGAAACAAATGACCTGAAGTATAAAGAAACAAAACACACAGGAATTTCAGGCAGAAGCGATATTTCTACAACTCCAGCTATTCGCTCCTAGTGAAAATTCTCCAGTAACTACCATCTCAAAAGAGATTTGCCTCTCATCACAAGTTTCATAGTTCCACTTCCCCTTAGTCCATACACTATGTATTGCATATAGAAAGAAGAAGCGGGAAAACATTCAAGAATATATTGCATGAGTTCTATCACGAACATTATAGATATATAAGTTTTTGTTCTGTGAAAATAATTGCGAGGCTAACCTCAGAACGTAATGAGTGAAAATACCCATTAAGAGCAAATTTGGAAGCAGAATATACAGCCTGTCCAGGCGCAGGTCCCTTCCCTGCAGCACTGCTCATCTGCCAACAAGAAAAAAAAAAGGTCAAAATACACAAGTTATTACTAATAGGGAAGTCTGAGCTGATTATTTATTTCCATAAATACACAAAAAAAAAAATTGATATAGACGAGGGATGCTTAATTGTTATAAGTGCATGTTTTTTCATTCTTTATACATAGGCAAAAAATAGCATAAGCTTATCTAGAGATAAAAAACATGTGCTTGTAGAAGCAAATGTATGGGAAAATGTAAGCCACCAGAGAGAAGAAGTTCTCATTACTTCTTTCATACTTCTCAGTCAGTGCGTATAATAACCATGTCACGTACCACAACAAAATGTCCTCTCCCACGCTTCAACATGTGAGGCGCCAAGAGTCGAGTAAGAGAAATTGGCCCCAGGGTATTGACATCAAACATAGCCTACTAAGAAAGAAAATTATCATACGAAAGATTTTTGCTTTTTGAAAAAAATAAATAGATTGTAAAAATGAAAACAGTAAGTTGACAAAAAGTGCAGAGATATACATAAATTTAGATGATTGCGGCAAAATAACAATAAGCTTCATGAATAAAACTAAAAATGTTCAATAACTGAATTGCACTACTTGATTGAGTAACTTTCTTTTTGTAATTCAGTTTTAAGTTGGAAAAAGTATTTTAATAAATTGACGTCTCGAAGGAGTTTCCTGAACTCCCATCATTTTCAATTTAATTTTTATTTCTTAAAGTTGTCTACGCAAGTGATACTTTTTAATTCAGTCTAGATGAGGACATTCATCATTTAGGAAAGATTAATTTGGAGTCTACAGGAAAACATATGCTTCTTAAGATGCCAGATCACGGGATAGATACTGAAGAACTGTAGGCAAGGAATGTACCTTTAGATCTTGCTCCGGTACATCTAGTACTGGTGTTTTCTGCAAAACAAAGTAGCCACGCGGCTTAAGTTGCAGGCCAAGAACAGAAATAAAAACCTCATTGACAATGGGAGCAAACATATAGAAGAATGGTTAGATGATGCCACCGGGATATTTACACATATCAGCAAAACAAAAACAACTGTCATGTATTTGCATGTGTGTGGCATACGCGAAAGATATCTAGTCAATGATTATCTCAAATAAGAAACATAGTACTTTAGAGGTTATATATGAGAATAGCTTCAAAATGCAATCGGTAAAATGAAGTTTTCAACGATTATTCTCTCTTTTTAACAGCCAGTATGTCTAGCAATTATATAACTCAATCTTGTAAATCCGATTTCCAGTACGTTCTAAATGTTTTCCATATTTTCAAAAACTAAATGTTCTCCATATTTCCCAAAACTTCTAGCTTCTTAGGACTATCCACAATTAAGTTCATTCATACGCATGAAACACTCAATATGCAGGCCAAAGAGATAGACATCCAATGTGGACACTTGCTTTCAAGAGCTTCAGTTATGAAAAATCGGGCTACATCAGTTTGAGAAACTATTCTTTTGAATCACTACCTTAAATTACAGCAATGGGCAGAACAACTTTGTCAGATCATGACGTTACGCTAAAATTATCACCTTCATTCTGGTACATATCATTTATCACAACAAGAATTTTTTTCTCTCTCCTGAAAGAAAGGATTAATATTAAAATTTCATCATAATTGCTTTTCCTAACAATCTTAACCATGCACATGAATTCATTTAACAGAGAAATGGAGTGAGAACTTTTAAATTTCTTTTTCATACAATCATTTCTCAAAATTTTCATGTAGTTGACACGCAAGACTTTCAACTAAGCTCAAACCACTAGTGTCAGTGAATTGTATACTCACAGGGCGTTCATATGCTGCATTGTGGATCATATAGTCCACTCCAGCACCACCGAAGAACGATTCAGCTTTCTGTACAGCCTCACCCAATTTCTCCTCACTAGATGTCAAATCCAAGGGCAGAATCATCACCTGATCTGGTGCATATTTTCCTGTTCGACATCAAAGGTGGTAAATAATAATTCAGAAGTGATTCCAACAAGGGCTCAAAGAGAATACAAAACAATTAAAAAATTAAAATGACATACCAGACAGCTGTCTCTTGACACGCTCTAGTTCAGCCTCACTTCGAGCGGAAAGGATAAGTTTTGCACCCAAACTTGCAAGTTGTTTAGCAAGAATCTCCCCTAGCATTTAGAAAGTAGCAAATTTACGACTGAGAGACATGTAAATGCATCAATTTTAAAATTTCAAAATGCATAATGACGAGACAGTGGAACATAATTTGCAAGTCTCAGGGCAAGTGAGTATATATATCACCCAGACACTTAATACAGGAAGATAAATAAAATCCAATATTCCTACCGAGAAGCAGCTCAGACTAATGTCAGAGATCACAAGCTTGGCAGATTCTTTCAAAGCTTAAAGTTAGAGGAAACTCGGCATCTACCTTGAGAAAAACTACCTAACTTCAAATATATTGTCAGACTAGATAAGAGCCTTAGGAAATTAAAAGTGATTTTTTGATTGATCAAAGTGTTGAATAATACATGAACGTCAACAAAATACTTGAATCATAAACCAGAAAAGAATAGACCCAAATTAATTGAGTTGATAAACAGCTCAATTGCACAAACCTATTCCACGGCTGGCTCCAGTAATCCAAATCACCTATTGAACAGCACAAGAAGAAAATCACAATTTACTCAATCAATCTTCATGAAATACTTAAATATCCCCAAACACAAGCGCGCGCGCGCACAAACAATGAAAGCTTTACACACCTTGTCTTCGATTTCTTCACGCTTGACGTGTCCTTTGGACAGCAATGTGAAATCCCCTGATTAAATTCAAAAAATGAAGCCATGTATAGCATAATCATTAAATATATATGTATATGTATATATACATATATTATGATACAAATTAGCAATTTGAATGAGTTGAACTGAGAAGTACCATCGGCTGTTAAGAACTTGTAGAACACTGCTATGAATACAGCGAAGAGCAAGGAAGTCAGTATCAGAATCGACATTTAGTACTACCTTCCCACCAGAATTGAAAATTGTGAATTGTGAAGAATTGTGGGAAATTCGACGAGGATGAAATAATATAGGCAGCAGTAGTACCTGCTTGAAGTGGATGAAACCTGCTTGAAGTGGATGAAACTTTGTCCTCTTGAGACTAACGTCATGTTTGGCTTGTTACGATGTGTTGCTGCCATCTTTTTTTTCTCTTTACATTGTCCACAATCGACAACAGTGACGAATTTTTTTGCTCAATTGTAGACACGTGACATGCACATAAGAGTTGACCCCAATCAAATAATTTAAGATTGCTCCATGTCCACAATCGACAACAGTAACGAATTTTTTTGCTCAATTGTAGACACGTGACATGCACATAAGAGTTGACCCCAATCAAATAATTTAAGATTGCTCCATATGTATTAAGATTCCAACCAAAACCAACAATCAATCTTTTGTGATTAAGGTAGACGAGTCCTTCCCCTCCAACACCAATAAATGCATGTTGTTTACAAAGATTTTGATAAAAAATACTCTATCTGCCCCAAAATTATTGTCTAATTTGGATTTTCATTTTTAGCACAAATTGTACTATAATTGAGAATCTAAACTGAACAATAATTTTAGGAACAGAGAAAGTACAAAATTCTCACCATCCAATGCGACCAAAAATACAATAAAATATACATTTCCGTCTAAACAAATCTTATATGATAAGTTAGTTTAAACTAATGCGTTTCAAGAATAGTATTAATAAATTATTATGGGTCATTAAATATTATTAGCTAATTAATTAGGTTTTGTGATTTAGTCACTGTAATCAACTTAAGAAAAGAATATTCAATTTTATAATTTTTAACTTTATCTAATTTCAAAATTAAAAACTTGAAAAATGAAGTGTACATATATATTACTCGACATAATTTTAAAAAGATAAATATAATATTACACATATTTAAAAAATCATGTGCAATTTTTTAGATAAAAATTTTGAAAATAAATTCTTTTTTTCACTCAGAAATTTTGATGGTTAAAAATCATTTTAAGAATAATTTCATCGGAATTTTTCGCACGGATTGTGCAGTATAATATTGATATTATAAAAGTTTTACCTTGTTTATATTATAGTATATTGAAACTAATCTAAATTTACAAATAATTTCTTTATATAGATTAGTACTAATGATAGTAATAATACTTATAAAATTAATTAAAATTTAAAAAGAAGATTCATTATATTAGTTAATGTATTGTGTAAAATTCAAAAATTAATGCTCACAATGGTAACTTTACAAATAATTTCTTTATATAGATTAGTATTAATGATGGTAATAATACTTATAAAATTAATTAAAATTTTTAAAAAAAGATTCATTATATTAGTTAATGTATTGTGTAAAATTCAAAAATTAATGCTGACAATGGTTAAATTTTGGATTAAAAATCTATACACACACATAAATTTGGAGATGCTTGGTTGGATTTATAAAGGGGTGTAGATTCAATTCTTGAGAAAATTCTTATTAAGGTCGTTACAAATTTAATAATTTTTTAAAAGAGTGTAAACTTTAACAATTTCTAATAAGGGCGTAACAATGATTTAATGTGAGGAAGTTTACTTTTAATGACAATTTTGCCCTTTTATTGTAATTATGAAATATTTTTTTCGTTATTTTTCATATTTGGTCGGGATTTTTTTTTCTCTCTTTTGAGCAATAAGAATTCTTGTTGTTGCTTTAGAAATCAATCTCACTTCACACTCACATTTCGTACAAGTGAATAAAATAGAGACTTGTTAGAAGCTCGAAAAATTTGATGATCTCCAATCTCTTTTACACTCTCTTAAATTGATCAGCGCAAGATAAAGAATTGTGTTTTTGTTATTTTCTGTAGAAAAATAAATTTAGGTTTTTTTTTCAAAAAATTTTTCCCATGAAATCCTTGATTGTAGTCAATGAACCAATAGAGTTAATTCTTTAGTTCCTACGTGAAGGGATCATTCTGATAATGATGGTTGAGTTAGAAGTCTATGTGATCTTTTCAATTAGAATGAAATGAGATTATCTGATATCATTTATCATTCTGATTTTCTTTATTAATAGTATGGAAACAACAATTTTCTGTTACTGTCATTGGGGTAGAGAAAATGTTTTGGCTGCTGATGGTTCCATTCTTTACAAAGGGGTATTACCAATTCGATTTACACATACAGTGGAATGAAATTTGAAGAAAAAAAAGGGAATCTGAGGTGTTTTTTTTCTCTCTATTTTTCTTTCGGGTTGAGAGTTTTGCTATGCAGTGGTGAAAAGAAAAAAAAGAAAAAGAAAAAAGAAGAATAAAGAAGTGAATGAAAGTTTCTTCTGAAATAGATTTAGTTTCTAGTAAAAAAATAATAATTCAGAAGGTATTGTAAAATTCTAACTAGATAGACATAAATAGAAATATGAATAGAGTTTTATTTGCAGAGTGATATTACTCTTAATACTAACATCGTAAGTGAACTCATTTGGGTAAATAATTAAACAAGAGCCAATTATCTGACTAACGTCGCACCCACTTGTAACATGAAAGAGTCACAAAACATTTTTTCCCATTCCATAGTAAAACAGACAGTCTTAGAGCAATTCCAAGAATCATACTAAAGTTTGCACTAAATTTAGTACAAAAATAAGATTTTTCAAGCATTTCTTTTTCACACCAAACGATTTTGAGCTCAAACCTTGTTACACCAAATTGTCAATGTTTTAATTCAATTTTTTTGGTAGTTAAAATCTTATATCTGATGATAATTTCGTGTAGTTTATTTCATAATAGCTTTAATTTGATTACAAAACTATCATTTTTTTTTAGTTCCACATATTCAATTTTAAATAATGACTATTTTTCTTTTTAATTTTTTTTTCATAAACTTTGATAATGTAATTCTTGTTTTAAGTTTAACTGTAGAACAAATCATGTATGTAGCTCGGAGTAAAGAGAAAATGCGGTGAGACAGTAAAATTGACAATATATATCAGATTTAGTGCACCAAAATTGTGCAGTGATTTAGTGCCTTTGTTCAATTTCAAGTTTATTTATTTTTATATTTATACTTTTGATGTTTTATCTTGCAACACTTTTATTAATCTCGATGTTTAGTTATAAGTTAAAATTTATATAAATTATTTTTATTTAATAAATATTTCTATTAATATAAAAAAAATCCAAATAAATTCCATCACCATTATATATTTACCATAAAATACTACTCACTCCGTCTCATAATTATTGTCCAGTTTGGGTTTTCATTTCTTGTTCAAATTGTACTAAAAGTAAAATTCAACAGGACAATAATTTTGGGACAGAGGGAGTATATTTTTTTGATAATGGTAAAGATATGACATTATTATTAATTAGAAAATAATAACGTAATAAAATTTAAATACTTTTAATTACATAATGTTATAATAATACTATTTTGTTTGGGATCATAGTTTCATGTACATCAATTATTTTTTTAGATAAAATTATAAGTCAATATACTTTTAAGTTTCAGTGTTCAAACTTCAGATTTTAGACATTTTATTCAATCTTCAAATTTTGATTTTTATCAAACAAAACAAATTTAACCAGTTCTGTATTATAATCGAGTCTTCAGATTTTAGACTTCTGACCGAAATTAAGTTTTATCAAACGCGGCCTTAATGTTTTCCAATTAATATGGGTTCTTCAAACTTAAGAGGATGATTTAGTAGTTAGCTCAAACTTTAGGGGACAATGAGTAGTTATGTGCAAATCCTCGTTTGTTCTGCAAATAGTAAACGCCTTCTCATAAACCCAACACAAACCCCCCCCCTTTCCAGTCTCTACCAAAAACGTGACTCATCTCCCTCCAAACATTTCGGCGGAAGGGTACCGGCCAGCTCACACTTCTTCCTATCCTCCGGCGCATTCTTGATCGATGGCGGCGAAGAACGCTCTGTTGAAGTACTTCAGGCTCAGTGTTCAAACTGTTCCACCGAGGCTCCGGGGCCCGAGAGTTGCCATCGGAGGCTCATTTTCTCAGCTCATAAGGCAGCGATTCTTCTCCGAAGAGGCCAGGGGTTCCTTCCTCGACAAATCGGAGGTCGCCGACCGTGTCATCAATGTCGTTAAGAACTTCCAGAAAGTCGATCCTTCGAAGGTGATTGTTGAGGAATCTATGTTTTCCCCATATTTTAAATGTTTGAATTAGGGTTTAATTGAGGTTCATGTTTTACCGCCTCTGTGCTTGCTTATCTTTTCTGTAGAAAAATTCGAAGGGTAGAGCTGCAGTGTATTATATTGTTGGTGAAATGTGGTATCGAAACTATATTTATTAGTGTACGACTTAATTTGTTCCAAATTGGACTCCCTTTGAGCTATAATGTGGTAGCGGTATTGATGCAGTGCATAGTGAGTGTAATATGTTTTGACTAGTTGTAGAAGAACTAATTTAGGCATAGGCTGAAGTTTCAGTTCTGTTGGTAATCTTCTGGGTCATTTTTAGTCCGTGTAGTAATAATTATGATTAATATTCGGTTTTCGAACAGGATTAGAGTGCTTTTTCTTCATTGTTTGAAAAGTTTTGGTTGGGCTCTGTAGGAACTACTGTGTAGTGTGTACTTGTTAGTATTTCTTTAGGAGCTCAGTTGGTTGGATGGAGTTGGTCTCTGTTCGTTGTGTATTCCTCATGCCACAGATGCTTTCAGGAAATCTAGGAGATGCAGTTTGTCGTTATAGGATTACTTTTTGTTCGGGAGTTCATTAATTCTTGCAGCAAGCATTTAAGGAAATCTTTACATCCTGCTATGGTTTTGTCGAATTTGATAGAATTTTGTAGTGTTCTACAAAGACATGTAGATAATATGATGTAATAGTTTGATGTCCTAGGGTAGATATAATCTCATAATGAATTAAGTGTGATCTATGTTGAATAATGATTCCTCAATTAAGTGCGCGCTCTATGTTGAATAATGATTCCTCAGTTAAGTGGGTGCTCTAGTTTGAAAAGTGATTCCATGAGGAGTAAAAAAGACTTACTATAATCACAGTCCTCGAGAAGTTGTATAGGAAGGGAAGGGATGATTAGGTGTGTGCGAATCATTTCCTATGCCAATTCATTATGCGCATATTTGTTGTTTTGATATGGTTCAGAATTTTACATTAGATATTGAAAACAAAATATTAATTTTTTTCTCAAATGGACATTTGATGGGTTGGGAAGAAATGATCCCTTTTGTCCTACATTTTTTTGGTGGTGTATGGTATCAGCTTCCTTTTCCGTTAATCTCATTAGATAAAAGTTTTCCTCCATGAACATCAAATGTATTTGGGCCAAGTTTGAGTCTGCTCTATCTTGGTTTTGGCATATTGTTAGTGTTAGTCGTTCATGTTTAGAAGACAAAGTATGGGGAATTTAGGAAAGAAGGGTGCCACTAAACTCAGCTGGAAAGGCTACTGGTTGTTGCTTACTTCTTTGTGATGATTTGTCCTCTTTCTAGCAATTTTTGTGATGAAAGGACATGGTTTGTTTGAACTTGTAAGATACCTAGGTAATTATTGACTCAAAGATCAGAATAAATGTTTTGATCCTTACTCTTCTATTGGCAAAACTTTAGGTGTTCTTTTTCTGAGTGCCTCATGAGTAAGGATTAGAATGATTTCGATTCAGTCTTTTAGGGGCTCGTACTGCTGCTTTTCTTCTTCAATGCTTTTTTCAATTCAGAGGGTTAGATAATAGATATCTGTGCTATTGTTGCCTAACTTCTAACAAAAATAACAAGATGTTGATTCCATTTTCTTTCCTTTCCTTTCATCCATGCTGTACCTCTTGCTGTTACATTGCCATTATATGTGTACAAACATACTGCTGGAAAAGGATCTCGAAGAAGGTGTTGGAATTGATTTTTCATATCTTTTTAAAATTCATTCTCTGGCATGTTTTATGAAATTGTTATATGGTCACCTGAAATATGAAGATACTTAGATTGTTTAATTTAACCAGTGGAAATTACTTGCAGGTTAATCCAAATGCTCACTTCCAGAATGATCTTGGTTTAGATAGTCTGGACACTGTTGAGGTTGTCATGGCTCTCGAAGAAGAGTTTGGATTTGAGATTCCAGACAATGAAGCTGACAAGATCAACTCTATCAATCTTGCTGTGGACTTCATTGCATCTCACCCTCAAGCAAAATAAGGGACATCATTATACTTGCATCCGCCTTTTATGATTTACCCAAGTTTTCTGTAGCAACGGAAGATAGACTCTTGGCACCTAAGCTGTTTCTGTACTGCCATTTTTGTCAAGTATTACATTTAGTCTAAAGATCTGAATGATATTTGCATTTTGCTGATATGTGAGCAATTCTTCTTTTGGACCCTGCTAGTGCCACTATGTTAATAAGGATTCGAATCATGAATTAGTGTTCCTTCCATTGTTCACTTCTTGAACGTATTGAGTTATTGACAATTGACTTATCCTAACCCCCTATACATCGTTACAAAATTGAAGCTCCAGACGGCACGAGACCGGTGTTTTTGAATGTTTGGTTCTGACTCTACGTCGTTGTCTGTATAGGGAAATCGATCTACATTATCCCCGTAGCCTTGGAGTTAGCTGTGTCTTCGATGAAACCTTTAGCCTGGGAAATGTAGGGACAATGAGAGTATTGGAATTTGACAGAGGTGGTTTCTATGCATGTTCACTTTTAAATGACTGCATCTTTCGCGGTCAAGCGCAAGACATCCTTTCGGAGTTTACCTAACTGAGTGCCCCATTAGAGGGGTTAAGTAGATGGAAACATGAATGTGTGAAGTCAATTGGTCTTTCCCCACTGGCGAAGACTTGTGGTTTTATACATTATTGAGAATTGAGACTTGGAATTTGGAGAGGAATCATAATTTGTGTGACTTTTGAAAGCAAGACTTGGTTTATATCTTATGAAGACCAAAAAAACCCCCGAATTGCTCAAGATTTACAATAACACGCCTACTGAGTTTGAGCATGGTCCTCAAGAAAACCTCTAAAAGTAAAACACCAAAACACTCTTCGCACATATTATATCAAAGTTAATGCTCGTTTGTCTTGTGTGCACAATTTAAAAGGACAAAAACATTTATACCCTTAATTAAACTCGTAAAACTCCTTAACATATAATACTTGTGCAATGACTGGATGTCTGACAGTGTGTTAATTTTTTTCCTATAATCTACTTGAAATTACATTTGCCTTTAGCCAAATCATTAGTTCAAAATTTTAAATTATGCTATTCCCTCCGTTCCAAAATAAGTGTTATCTTACACTTTGCACATAGTTTAAGAAACTCTTAAATAGGGTAGTAAAATTACTTGAATATTCTCAACCAACCGTATTATAAAATTGTCCACCAATAGCATCAACTCTTTTGCGGATAATTTTGGAAATTTTTGACGAAAAGTGCATTAAAATGTGAGAACGACACTTATTTTGGAATTTCTCTATTTTGCTAAAACGACTTTTATTTTGGAATGGAGGGAGTACTATATAATTAGTTTATAACAGTAAAGGAAGACTTGGAAAGTTGAAAAGGAAGGTACTAGAAGCGCTCTCAATTTTTAATTGGAGGAAACACCGTGCAAGTGAATTCCCATTGGAGGACAGGTCAATTTGAACAAGTCAAACAAATGCACTACGGTCTTTGGCCTTTTTTTCAGGCTATTTTTGTAAATAAGGGATAAAGAGACGGGCAAATTTTCAGACAATGTCTCTATAATTAAGCCCGAAAATAGCCACAACCTTAATTCCATCTTTTATAGGATCGAACAAAAATGCATAAGAATCTTTCCCCTCTCTGGGCATTGTTTCCTTTACTGTTGTTATGCTCATTGCTCAGAACTTCAGTTGCTGAGATCATTTTTGAAGAAAGATTTGATGGTAAGTGGTTTCATCTTTAGTTCTACTTCCATTTTCATGTATCACTGGTACTGAGAAGTATGAACTACAGTCCTCGACTGGTTGAACATCACGGGTAGCTCTGTTTATCTTGCAACTTTCAACTCTTTAGGATTTAATTGCTTAAAAGGTAGCTTGAATTCTGGGGAAAATGTATTTATTGAAGCTTGTTTCATCTTGGGTCCCCAACCCAATTCATCCAACTGTTTCAGCAAAAGGGTGGTAGGGAACTTGATCTGAACAGGAATTAGGCTGAAGTTTTTAATTTTAGTAAGGGGATTTAGTGGGCTGATTTTCATGCTTCCATTCGTTTTCTTTGCTAAATTAAGCATACCCCTTGTTGTTTTTGTTGCTTAAGTTTGCTTTGCTGAGGTCATGCCTTTTATTTCCTGTTAAAGTTTGTTGACTTCAGTGCGTTTGTTTGAATGTGGAAGTATGTCTAAAGGTATTCTATTACTGATTCTGGAACTTGATTCGATCACTGTTTTATTGGAACTTAGATGGGTGGCAGAGCAGATGGGTGAGGTCAGATTGGAAAAAAAGTGAAGGGAAAGCAGGTACTTTCAAGCACACAGCTGGGAAGTGGCCTGGTGATCCTGATGATAAAGGTTTGGCTCCATACCTTTAATCTCTATTGGCAAATTGAAGTTATTTGGGCTGAAATGATAAATCTTGTGGGGAAATAATGGGAAATTGTTATTTTTACGTAAGATAACAATGGATTATGACCTTTAAGAAAACAATGGATTATGACCTTTTGCTTTCTAACTTTTGCGCCATTTCCTATATGGATGAAACAAGTGAAACTATGGTTGGTATAATAAAGGAGGATGCGCATAAGTTTATTTCCCGAGCCATTATTCACCTTGTTAGAATGCACTTTCACGACCGCGTCTGAGATCCTCTCAGCTGCATTTGCAAAGCAGATGCAGGCTGCTATCTCAGTTATTTAAATGTTGCTACTTGGAGTTAATTATGGAGACCCAAACCCTTCTTCTACTTGGTCTCAAATGGTGGGCGCACTGTGCTAATTGGTCATACCTGATTGAACTCAGTTATGTTCATTTATTTATTTTTTCTAGGGAGCTGTTTTTCCATTACATGAAGCCATGAAGCTTGTTGTTGTTATTATTATTATTATTGTTGTTGTTTATTTTTTGTTTTGGTAAACGCTTGTTACATTATTTCAATCGAAGGGATATCCATCATTAAGCTCCAGGAGATGCATTTCTTTCGATTATGTTCTCCATCTGTCCTAAACAATTATCATGTTTATTGTACCATCTTAGTATAACAAACAGGACAATAGTGTTGGGATGCAGGGAGTGTATTTTATCATCATGTTAGTAATCTTTCTTTAACATTCTCAGGTATTCAGACCACTACAGATGCCAGACATTTTGCAATATCTGCAAAAATACCAGAATTTAGCAACAAGAATAGAACATTCGTTTTGCAATACTCTATAAGGTTTGAGCAAGAGATAGAATGTGGTGGTGGCTATATAAAGCTTCTTTCTGGATATGTTAATCAGAAAAAATTTGGTGGGGACACTCCTTACAGGTTTGATATCCATCCTTTTCATAATTTTTAGGATTTTGTTAGATCTATATATCAATATTATCTCACTTTGATAGAACTTTTGATCTTCTATCCAGAAAATTTGGCAGTACACAAGTTGGAGTTGCATCTTACTGCTCTGTGTAGATGACCTTTTTGTGCAAATAAAATCCAGTGGAGTTAGAAGTTATCTTGTTTCAATCGTTTAGGAAACTTTGACATGTTGCCGCACATCTGTCTTAATCTTTTTTCATTCAATTAACTAGGAAACACGTATAAAACTAAAACCTAAACTTTATTTGTGATGTGATGTGGCAGTACCTTTTTGTCTTAGCTAGGTTAGTCTCAGTATTGCAGCTAAAAACTTTACAAAGTTCTCACTTGATCAAATATCTGATGTAGGGGTCATTCTCAGGCACAAATTTAACAGCTCTTTGCCTATGTTTGCATTGCAGTGTAATGTTTGGACCAGATCTGTGTGGAACACAGACAAAGAAGCTTCATGTCATATATTCTTACCAAGGCCAGAATTACCCTATTAAGAAGGATTTGCAATGTGAAACAGACAAGTTGACGCATTTCTATACATTCATTCTTAGGCCGGATGCTACATATAGCATTCTCATAGATGGTCGAGAGAGGGACTCTGGGAGCTTATATGACGACTGGGATATCCTCCCTCCTCGTAAAATTAAGGCTGTGAATGCTAAAAAGGTAATTGAACTCAATGAGTTGTGAAATCCTTTGAAGACTAGATGTTTCTTGACTTTATAATCCATGTTTGTCCCGCTTTTGTGAATTGCTTCTGCCTATTACCAGATTTTATGTTTTTATTTTCTACTATTATCAAATGTACCACAAGGTCTTGTATTTAGTTTGCCATCTACTAATAAAAGTTGATCTTGAATTTTGCAGCCTGCAGACTGGGATGATAGAGAATATATCAACGATCCTAATCACGTCAAACCCGAGGTATATGTTCGCAAAGGTGGATCTTTCTTTGATATGTAACTTGTATCCTCTAAGTACTCCCTTAATGATTTTATTGCAGGGATATGACTCAATTCCTCGAGAAATTCCTGACCCTAAAGCTAAAAAGGTAAGTAGTACATTATTTTTTAGTTGCTTTCAGGGTCTAGATGCTTAAATCCGAGAAAAATGTGACTGCTCTGCTGAAGGCAGTAACTGGCGAATTTATTTATTGGTTTTTGGTTTATACTTTCTTTTTCTTGTATTCCCGCGGTTTCATACATTTTGCATCAGATTTCTCGCTGTAGAGTTTTATACTTCCCTCAAAATAGAGACTATTTGAATGAAAACATAATGCATGCTTTTTTTTTGTTAGCCTGCTGATTGGGATGAAGACGAGGATGGTATATGGAAACCAAAAAAGGTTCCTAATCCTGCATATAAGGGACCATGGAAGCCAAAGGTTTGCTCATTCATTTTTACTGAAATATCTGTATATGTTCTATATATACTGAATGCATTTTCTAAGAAGATGAGAGTTTCTTTTTTTCCGTAAACAGAGAATAAAGAATCCCAATTACCAAGGAAAGTGGAGGATTCCATGGGTTGATAATCCAGGTACCCTAAACATCTTACTTACATTCTTAGATGTACTGAGGATGATTCTCATAGACATTTCAAATCTTATGCCTTTTCCTTCTAATAAGCTTCTTATCACTTGCAGAATTCGAAGATGATCCTGAATTGTATGTGCTGAAGCCAATTAAGTATGTTGGCATTGAAGTTTGGCAGGTAAACTGTTAATTTTATGTTGTTTTAAGTATGTGCTGAATTGTATGTTGTTTTTGTATGTTGGAATTCGAAGTGTATTTTTTTACTAAAACAAATAGTACGACATAATCATTGGCTGATGATAACTCCCGATCCAGGTGAAAGCAGGTTCGATCTATGACAATATTTTGATATGTGATGATCCAGAATATGCAAAACAAGTAGTGCAGGAAGTTCTAGCCAACAGGGAGGTTAGTTTTCACTCTTCTACAGATGATTGCAACTTTGTACTGGCTATGTGATTATGGTTTCCTCACTCTCTTGTCCCTATGAAATTTCAGTTTGAAAAAGAGGCATTTGAGGAAGCAGAAAAGACTAGAAAAGCTCAAGAAGAGGAGGTTATCACGTGATCCCTGTTATACATCAGCTTTCTGAATTGGTTGATACAAATTTCTGAATCGTATATTATAATTGCTCAGGAACATCGACGAGCAAGAGAGGAAGGAGAAAAGAGGAGAAGGGAAAGAGGCGATAGGAGGAAAGATCGTTATAGAGATAGATACAGAAGAGTAATTTTTTGATGCCTTTCACTGCCATTTTGACTTGTAACAAATCTCGTTACCTTCACGAATTTAACATGCATATTTGTTTTGCAGCATGACCGCCATTCTTACATGGATGATTATCATGTAAGTTCCTCGTTATCTCTCTCTCTTTTTTTTTTGTGGGTAATGGCGGTTAGTACTAGCTAAAAATTGCGCTGATAAGCTGTATAGAAAAGCATAGTCTATTATCTAACACCAGAAAACCTTCATCTTATTTGCAGGATGAGTTGTGAGAAGTCACAGTTCACTATTTTCCATCTCAAGTGACTCAGAGTTTTCTGTAGTTCTGTGCCTATCCTAATACTTTTGACGCTGCTTAGGCCTTTTGTAACATTATGATTGCACGTGGATCTTGGGAGGAAAAATGTTATACTTCTTCTATTCTTGTCCCATTGCACACATGAACTAATTACTATGCGAGTTCAGATTCTGTGAAGTCGTCGAAAATATACGGTTTTTGTTTTATAATGCAAAAACAAATATACACCTATTTCAAATCATTTCGCAATGAAATGAGGTACACCTCATTAGGGTTCTTCATTTAACTCATCATCATATAATGGGCCACATTAGCTTCAATGTAACCATACTTAAGTTTAAAAAAGAAAAGAAAAGATGGTAAATGGAAAGTTGACAGGGAGATGAAAAGAATAAAGGAAAGAAAAGAATAGTGGTTTTTTTTTTTTTTTTTTTTTTAACATATTTTCGAAATAAATAGGAGTTGAAGAACAGAGGGAGAAGAAGAGAATTATGGAGAAAATCTGAAATTCAGGATATTCGTCATTGATTAAAATTACAATCGATAATCAACTTCCTGACACTACTTTTATAAATTTGCAACTTAACTCTTTCACTTTAATTTAATTTTTTAAATGACCCTAGAAGCCTGAATGTACCGAAAATTTTAATAGTTTATGAAGAATTACGTTGATCAGGATTATTCTTCTGTACATAGAAGTGGATTTAAAAAGTGAGCATCTCTCGGTTCAGCGACCTAAAAAGGACCACATTTTTATAAGTCCAGATTCAGATCCTTAACCCCTTATTTAATTACCACAACAAGAAATAAGCACAATGTATGTTACTGTAAATTCGTTTTTATATCCAGATGCTTAATTAACCAGTTATCCAATCACCGTAACACGGAAAAAGCAAATCAAATGAGTACTCCCCATCCTGAAATTATTGTCCAGTTTGAATTTTAATTTTAATACAAATTAAATTAAAAGTGAATATTCAAACTAGACAATAATTTTATACCGGTGGAATACTATCTTTTACTCATACTAGTTGAACTCTCTGCCCAAATCAGTTAGTCTATATATACTTACTACTAGCGCAACTCATATTTTGCATATGCACGGAGCCAGAATCATGTACAGTATTGCTGTTATTTTGAGTCATAATTCGAAGTAAAATCTGTAAGTCAGAGTGCCTACAGTATAGTTTTGGATTAACAATAAGTCAGGAGTATCAAGAATCACGATAATTCCATACAATTTATATACATTTTGTTTGTTAAGTATTAGACTGATCATTTTGTGGTTAGTATCATTTTGCGAGAGAAAATAAAGAAACAAAATGCAGTTAGAAGATCTACACAGGGGCATAGATATTTTACGGAAGTTTCATCAATATATTCGAATTGTTTGAAGAACCCCCACGTTCTATCTGGTCTGAATTTCTGAAACGTGAACTGCTACTGCTACGGAGCAATTTTCTTAACCTTGGAATGGTTTATGGAACCTTGATGCGAAAAAAGAGACTGACTTGGTGCTTTGGCGGCATCTTTCTTACAGCAGCCTCACTTGAACGGCGCGGTTATGTCGACGCCGGCAACTGAACTCCGAATTGCTGCCCAAGGCCGAATTTTTCACAGAGAACCTCCTCCGCCGTCATAATTACTGCCCTTGGCAGTGCAATTTCTAAGGCTGTTATAATCGTGGAGCAGCTCAAATCCCAATTCCGAAATCTGCATCAAATCACATCTATTTCGGATAGTATGTGGGTGAGTCCCATTCATGCGGTACCCAAGAAAACCGGAATCACAGCGGTAATGAACGAAACAATAAGTTGATTCAGATAAGGGTGCAAAATGGATGTCAGATGGTCATTGATTTCGGAAATTGAATCAGGCTACTAGCAAGGATCATTTTCTATAACTGTTCATTGATCCAATGGTGGAAAGATTAACTGGTAAGGAATTTTTTTATTTTCTTGATGGATTTTCGGGTTACTATCATCAGATAGTAATAGCTCAAGAAAATCAAGAAAAGATTACATTCACCTGCACATTTGGAACTTTTGTTTACCGAAGGATGCCATTTAGATTCATTTAGAAAAAAAAATGATTTAGGATGCCATTTGGGTTGTTCATTTAGAAAAAAAAATGATTTAGGATGCCATTTGGGTTGTTTAATGCTCCATGTACATTTCAGAGATGCATGCTAAGTATTTTTTTGATTTTATTGAGAAATGCATTGAAATGTTTATGGATGACTTTACCGTTTATGGTGATTCTTTTGACATTTGCTTGCATAATCTGACCACGATTTTGAAAAGATGCATGAAAACAAAATTTAGTTTTGACTTATGAAATATGTCATTTTATGGTGAATGAAGGTATTGTACTTGGACATGTAATTTTTTTCTAGAGGCATAGAAGTCGATAAATCAAAAGTAGATTTGATTGTAAGCATACCCTAACATAAGAATATTAGGGAAGTGCATTCTTTCCTTGCCCATGAAGGATTTTATCACAGGTTCATTGAGGATTTTTCGAAGATTGCATTGCTACTATCTAGTTTACTTCAAAAAGGTCGTGCTTGACTTCGGTGAGAAATGTAAGGAGGCATTTGATAAACTCAAGAATTTGTTAACAATTGCTCCTATCATTCAGCTGCTAGGTTGAAATTTGCCCTTTGGGATCATGTGTGATACAAGTAACTATGTTGTGGGGGCAGTCTTAGGTAAAAGAATTGAAAAGAAGAATCATGTCATGTATTATGCTTCGAGGACATTGAATTCGGTACAATGCAATTATAACACCACTGAGAAAGAGCTATTGGCATTTATTTTTGTTTTAGATAAATTTAGATCTTATTTACTTGGCTCTAAAGTGATTTTTTTTTCTGACCATGCAGCACTCAAATATTTGTTGGGGGGGGAGGTGGGAAAGAGAGTCCAAACCAAGGCTTATAAAATGGATTTTGCTTTAGCAAGAGTTTGATCTAGAGATCAAAGATCGCAAGATAGCTGAAAGTTCAATTGTAGACCATCTGATCAGGTTAGTAAGTGAAGAGGATACATTACCAATTTTTGAATCTTTTTCAGATGAGTAACTTTTTCAGCTAAAAGGTATATGATTCCTTGGTATGCCGATATTGTAAATTATTATGTACTGGGAACTTTAATGGATACAATTATTAAGTTTAGGAGAGATAAGATTCGATATGAGCCAAAGCATTATGCGGGGGATGATCCTTATTTGTGGACATTTTGTGCAGATTAATTAATTAAGGAGATGTGTCCTTGAAAATGAACAAAATTCCATTTTAAGTTTCTGTCGTTCTTATGCATGTAGAGGTCATTTTTGTCCTAAAAGAACTGCTAGAGAAGTCTTGGATAATGGTTTATATTGGGATACATTGTTTAAGATGTATATTTGTTTCGTAAAAATTGTAAAAAGTGTTAAAGAACATGGAATTTGTCTCATAGAAACGAAATGCCTCAAACTCCCATTATTATTTGTAAAGTCTTTCATATTTGGGGAAAAGATTCTATGGGATCTTTTCCATCATCTTGTGGTTTTCTCTATATTCTGTTGATTGTAGATTATGTTTCGAAATGGGTGGAAGCAAAGGTCACCAAAACTGACGATTTTAAGGGTATTGTAGGCTTCATCTAGAGTAACATTTTTAGAAGGTTTGGAGTGCCTCGAGCTGTTATTAGTGATCAAAGAACTCATTATTGGAATAAGGCAGTTGAGGAATTAATGAGAAAGTATGGAATCTAACACCCCATAGCCACATCATACCACGCTCAGACGAATGGACAAGCTGAAGTTTCTAACAGGAGGTGAAATCTATTATGGAGAAAATGGTAAATCTTAGAAAAAAGGATTGGAGCTTGCGTCTTGATGATGCATTGTGGGCTTATGGCACAACTTACAAAACACCTATAGGTATGTCTCATTTCTGTTTGGTTTATGGAAAGTCCTATCACTTACATGTTGAAATTGAGCATAGGTCCTTTTGGACGGTGAAACGCTGCAATATGGATATGGAGAAAGCTAGTGCGTCTCTTAAGTTGCAATTACAAGAACTTGAGGAACTAAGATTAGAAGGTTATGGGAATTCGAGAATTTACAAGGAGAAAACCAAGTTGTTTCATGATAATTTACTTTTGAGAAAACAATTTATGGTGGGTAAAAAAGTCTTATTGTATAAGTTTTGTTTGAAACTCATGTCAGGAAAGTTACGTTCTCGCTGGATTGATCCATTTGTTGTTACTTATGTTTTTCTTCATGACGCAGTTGAGATAAAGAGTTTAGATACTGATAAGATTTTCAAAGTGAATGCACAAAGGTTAAAGCTATTTCATGAGGACTTGAATGTGTCTAGTGTGATAGGCATCACATTGGGACTTCCTAGTCTGTCTCATTAAGAAGATGAAGATGTCAAGCATAACCACGTTATCAAACTGCGCTGTTTGGGAGGCAACCAAAAGTATTTACATTATGTCATGTTTGATTGGTAGTTTATTTTTGTTGTTTGGAGTTAACTTTTTATTTTGTGTTTAGGTTTTATTTTAAGAGAAGAAGGGTTTTGTTACATGTGATCATGGTAAGTTTATCTTGGGTTTATGATAACAGTTAAATTTGATCCATTTTAACAAGTAATTCTCATTCATTTTTACTTACATATTAGTGTCAATTAAGTAAAATTAGTTGATTTTTGGGTTGATTTTACATTTCAGGGTGATTACATGACCAATGTGAAATTTACTGGAATTATTGGGACAAAAAGTGAAAAAGAAGATCGAAATGGACTAGAATTGTTGCTACTGCAAATTGAGGCTGTAAAGGATCGATTGAGGAGGAAGAGGAGCTGAATTCATGTTGCTGAAGAAAGATTGTTGATCCACCATCACAAGTTGCTGATTCCTTGAAAATTGAAGCCAAAGAAAGAAGAAGAAAATGCAGCCAAGTTGAAGCCCTACTGCTACTGCTCTTATGATCAATTGAAGAAGAATAAAGGAAGAATGGTTGCTGATGGAAGCAAGAAGTGGTGTTGTAGCGGATAATTTCCATAAAACAAGGAAGCAAGAGCAGAGGGGGGCCAGATTGAAGAGCAACGCAGAAGAAAACAGAATAATGAAGGGTGAAGACTAACAAATTGATGCTGTTGTTAATTCTGTTGGTCGCTGGAAGATTAAAGAAAGACTAAAAGAGAGATTGGTGACTAGAAATAGAGAAGAGGAGGCGTTGGAGAAGAAGACTAAAAGGTAAAGCCATGATGAGAAGAAACTGATTGTTACGGCTAAAGAAGGAAAGAGCGGCCAATCAGAAGGAGGCAACTTAGTAAGTTGACAAGTTTCCCAAATAAACAACTCCAAAAACTGCTGCAAGTTGTTGATCTGTTCTTGAAGGAAAAAAAGACCAGAAAAAGCAACAGTCAAGCCCCCTTCAATCTCTA